TATGACAAGCAATTCAAACTACGCACACTCACAAATCCTTACGTAAGATTTAAGATGTCAGAACTTTATCGTACATTTTTATCTCCACAGAAGAGTTTCAACAAAACATAAACACTGTCATTTATCATGTTAATCTCACTTTAAAGTTGGCTTTTTCCAAGCGGGTACTCCATATGAGTCACCCAGAGGTTTTGCAGGTTTTGCGAGTTCCATGTTCAAGATACAAGGATCCTGGCAAATAGAACCAAACAAACACAAGTGTAGTGAGTTGTCATGGCAAACTTAGATCTTAATCCTCATTTCACTTGATTTACATGAATCCTGGTTAGAAATGCTAAAACAGTCAGATCAAATAGGCAATAGACAATTTGTAAATATTAGCGAAGGCTACTAGACAATAATAGCTCATTGTTAGAAATTATTTACTATCAGGCTATAGCACTTTTTAAAATGTATTCTATTTTTAACTGAGGTCGCAATGCATCCTTTTGCCCCCTGTAGGTTGGGCCTGGTAGACTCCTCTTTAGCCACCTGTTGAGACAAAAAAAAAGCCAATTCTGTGTTATTCTCTCTCAGAGAAATACAGAATGCATTCTGTTGTCCTTTCCTCCCCAGCATTACTGTATTCATTGCTATGTAAATAATACATACAATACATGCCAATTTAATCCATGTAAAAATTAAGAAAAGTTTGGTGGAGCCTTCAAGGGAAATGTCATGCCTTGTTACTGTGGTAGAAATGCTCTGCCGCCATCTAGAGTTAGATATGTATGCCTACCACTAGAAAGGATATCTGAATTTATATTTAACCATAATTCTTATAACCTAATGTTTGTGTCTGAAAGAAACCCAAAATGGTGGGTAAGAGGCATATGAGTTACACTATTTTACTTGTGAGTTCAAGGTTTTTGGCTAATTCTTAATGTGTGATCAAGATAAATTGTCTTTCACCTTTAAAATTCTATTAAAGTAAAGGAACTTAGCTTCACAGTGTATCGTGATACAGGAAAAAGAGGCTACAAACATTATTTATTAATGCCACATTGGCCAAAAGGTATTGTTAGCCCTTGTTAGACGATGGCCATGCGTTCAGTATTGCTGCTGCACCCATGTTCTCATTGTAACACCCACCGACACACTTAGTCATTAACCAATACTCATGTGCCCTCCACACTGTGCCAACTGTCTGATGAGTCAACACATGGACAGTGTCCTGCCAACACGCCAACAATGAACCATTACATTACACAGACACACAGGCACACAGACGTAGCAATGGAAGACACTGCCTGGCCTTAAAGGTACAAAGTAGAAAATATTAATTGATAATATGTAAAAAACTAAATCACTCATAGACTTTGGATTGGTTCCAGCACCTCCCTAGTCATGTTGGACATGTACCAGTTAATATTCATATTTGCAGATGCTCACAAATTCACAATTCTAATATTAAACTGTCCTTAATTGTCCCACTGTGTAAAAGAACATTTTATAAAACACACAAACAGCTTTTTAAAATCAAATCAATTGATATCAATTTTTAAAATCATTTCAAAATTAACTGAATAATGTTTATATCACTTTTAACTACAGAAACTAGTGACATTGATTCTGTCAAGCAAAAACAAGTTGTCTTTCAAAGATATGGCACATAACAAAATGTCTAATGGTAGTTTTATCAGATCAATGACTTTGACTTGTAATATCCTCTGTAAAGGTCAGTGGGTTCCTATGCTATAACATCCATTATGCAACAGATGGCGCTACCAACTCAGGATGAATGTCCACAGAGAAGCTAGAACCTGCCGATTTTAATTATGAATCTCAAAGTTAGAAGGGATGGTGTGGTTTTAATTTTTCACTCACATGAAGCCACAAGTTATAATAACTGACTCCCTGTTGACTCAGTCACATCATAAGAGCCAATTATTCTATAGATTCTACTATCACTGGATAAATGTTCAAGGCTAAAGCATGTTGTTTCAGCTAATTTTCCAACAATTGTTAAAGAATTCAGTGGTGACTCATAGGATCTTATGAAAGGATGAATCACTAAAGCAATCAGGAAATTAGGAGAGGTGAATGAAGATCAGGGTGTGTAGGTGTTTTGCAAAAAACTGATTTAATTAAACAATCTGAATGAAAGGAGAGAAGGAAGGTAGAAAACGTACAGGAAACTAAAGATACATATATAAAGGTAAAAACAGTGCACAAAATTTGCCTGCTAGACAATATCTGACCCAGCCCAGAGTAAGATGCACTGTCACTTCTGTTACAAAATAATTGGAGGTATACAAAATTGAACACAATGAACTCCAATGTAAATGGGCATTTTGACAGGATGCCCTAACAGATCTATTTCATAGTAATGTTCACACATGTGCCTAATCCCACAATGTAATGCAGTCTAAATGTATTGAAAGTGCCCTATCTTCTAAGAGGACATAGTCTAGTTATTAAATCAGGTGATCTAATTGAGCCTGCGGGCAGTATGTCCTGGTGCGCCTGCCTCACAGCTCACTGTAATGAGGCCACTTGTGCCTTGGAGCTCCTGATAAATGACACAGGCCAATAATGATGCTGGTCTATAGCATCTGACTGACAGTGCTGTCATACTGAAATAGATGAGGTCAATATGTAATGTGGTACCAGAGACCTGATTTTTGATGTGTGCTTTCATGCACAAAATATCAGCAAACACATCTGGCATCAGCTAATCAATGGATTTGTACAGTTCGACAATGAATTTTAAAATAACAATCTTTAACAATTTCCCTTTAATTTTTGTCAGGTTTTGTTGTGATTTTGCTGTGATTTCCTTTGTCAAACTCTGCACAGGTGTGGAAAATCAGAAATAAATCTGATTACTCGAATCATATATATCTGTTTACATGATATTCAATAATCTAATAACTTCAGAAATCAGATCATGATCAGATTTCTGTTGTGCATGTCCTAAATTTGCTTAAAATATACGTAAACTACTACTTAACATACGAATATACTACAACAGGTAAGAAGACAAATATGGAAAAGGTGTGGCACTTAAAATAAAATGGCTGGATCAAATGTACAATGACTCTTGGTTGTTTCCAAATTGTATCAAATATTAAATAATTAATTGTAATAACCTGCTTTACACTCCATACATTTGACTCAAGGGTGGTGGCAGTTGTCATGTAAACATATTTTAATGAATTCTTTTGTTAGATCAATACTAGAATACATTGAACGGTGTCTGTGAATGGCTCTACTCACCACGTCTCATGAGCCTGTGTGAGTGATCAGGCAGGATGATTCACAAGTGGAAAACATAGCAACAGTTCTCTCCTCAATAAGACTTTACACAACAGTAGTAGACGTAGTGCCATCTGTGGGTTTGTCCAAAAAAAGATTCCACTGTCAGCCCTAAGGCACAAAACACAAGGACATGTAAACGTTTTAATGCACTTTCTTATTATAATATGGGATAATGAATAATGATATGTGACTAGTAAAAATCTTTTCACACATTTGATCTGACAAGAACATACCGACCAATCATCAAAAATGATTGCAGTAGACCTATATAAATCCTTTCAAATTGCCATTCAAGAACAGTTAGTCCCACAGGACATCTTGAGCTTCAGGTCATAGGCAGAATCACATTTCCTCCCAAGGTTAGCGTTAATCATTCATGGCAATCTCATCAATAAATACTGCACAGAATCAGTATGTTCCCTCGTGTTTATAATAGTTGTAAGTAGAACCATTTAGACATAGAATCAACATGGACAAAAGATATTCATCTTATGAAGGACAAAGCTATGTGTGTGCCACATGAAGGGGTAGGAGGGGAAAGTGCAGATAGACAGTGTATTTCGGCACGGCATTAAACTAACACCCAATAGCCTAATATACATTCAAAACCATACAAACTGTGTGGTTTAATGAGGTACTTTCTCTTTCCTTTTCCCTTCAAGGTGATAAATCCTACAGTTATCTGAAATATACCGTGTATCACTTTAGCCATGATTAGAACGTGGCAATACGTGTATGATAATGAAATAAAACAGAGAAAGTGAGAAAGAAAGGGCGCACAAATAGACCTCTAGCCCGGACTACTTCACCATTATAGTTACTCACACGTGGGAACCGCAGAGTGGTGAGAACTCAAGAGCGTGACCATGGTGCCATTGTGCATTATTACACTGTCTTTAATTGGAAGTTGCATTGTCAAGGCCCAAAGCGATCCGCTGCACCTACATGCTGTAGACAGCCCACGTACAAAGAGCAGCTACGTAATCCATAGTGTGTATGCGCGCGCGGGGGAGCATGTGCGCGTGTCTGTGATTCTTTCATTACATATGGGGACTTCAAAGTCACATGTCAAGCTCAAGTCTGTTGCGCGTCCACATGTTAATGAAGTTAGACATTTAGCGGTGTACAGCTAATTGCTGTCTCTTTACGCACCACCACAATACGACTGTATATGTGTTGGAGACGGACAGGAGCAGCATCACGCTCTCCCATCGCTCCTGTGCATTCTTCCCGTTTCCCCGTCCGTCAGCGGGCGTATAAAGGCTAGGAGGTGTCTATCGAACCCGTCTGTCCGTCTCTACGCCTGTCCTACTGTCTCAGTGGAGGGTGTATCGTGGATGAGAGTACTTTGCGACAATAAACAGGTTTTGCCGCTTCTTCCTTGCGAGCCGTGTCATTCCGGAAATTTCTCCTCAGAGTTGAAGAAAACAGGTGCGTAAATCACAGTCCTTTTATTATTACATATATTTATGTAAACTGAAGGACAAGCTAGTAACACAGCAGCGGCTCTCGCACTTTGAATGCAATTCCTACAGGTGGGATTTCAGTGGTCACAAGCTCTGCTCTCACACGTTGTAGTTTTTTGCGTGCATTGATCGTTTGTGGATTTTAGACTTAAGATTAATGAGAGCACTGTTTAATATAATTGCATACGTATGGGTGTTTTATTTAAACATTTCGTCCCACAGCTGTGTGTCTCAGTGTGTGTGTAATTTTGGAGCCAATCAAGCAGCAATGGACGCGTTAATGAAGGGTTTCTCCAAAGCCAAGGATGGAGTCGTGGCAGCGGCTGAGAAAACCAAGCAGGGAGTGACTGGAGCAGCTGAGATGACGAAAGACGGGGTGATGTTTGTAGGTGGGTGTTATCATGTCATTGTTGAAGCCAGGGGACCCTTTATCCCGCGGGATGATGCGTGTATACACAGTTTAGATGTGTTAACATGCACTGATTGAGTCTTCATTGTGTTTTAGGAACGAAGACTATTGATGGAGTCTCAACAGGTAAAGACACTATATACATTAAGAATATGGTTTTCAGCATGGACAAAATAAGAACATTGTGTAAATAGGAAAGAGGAACTCACGGACCTGCTTCACTAACAAACCTGTAGGCTTTGTGTTGGTCCCAAGCCCACAGAAAATACATTTTATCTCAAAGGGCATCCAAATCATTCTGCATTACTTAAAGAAAACAAGTTGATGACTGGCCATTTGTATGGTGACCAAAAAACACATAGGCCTAATAGCAGCTGATGTATCATTTTTGATGTTTCATTTTTAACAGGCCTAGTGTTTTGTTCATTTATAGGCTACAGCAACCTGTTAAATTACTGGAAGGAAAGATACAAAAAAAGTTATTAACTCTCCAGGGCTGTAGATGACCAAAGACATTCTTGGTCAACTAAAGACATGCCCTGTGCATCGATTAATCAACAAAAAGGGACAGTGGTGTTAGAGGAGTATTAGTAAAACATCTTCTTCATGAGTGAAATTGAAGATTACAGTGCTGTCATTCCCTAAACTTCTGCTAGTTCACTCCATGCTTTCTTCTTTTTGCTGCTGTGCAAATAAATAAATAAATTTAATCTAATAAAATAACCTGTCAGCTAAGAAGAAAATGGATCAACTGAGACACTGCCAACAGAATAACTGACTAAACATCTACAGCCTTGTTATCCAATAAGTTGTTTAGTTACAAAGAAGAAATAGTTGTTAGAGGGACGTTATCTTGGTCTCATATTTCATTTCTGTTACTCCCAGCAGGCAGCATTGTGTTATTTTTCATACACACTCAGAATCCCGTGGAGATTGCCAGTTTCAGGGAAGCAAAGACATTATTGTTGTAGCTCAGGTTTACGTCAGACAGGTTTGATGAGTCAAAAGATGACCACCCTTTGGGGTAGGACTTGCAGAATTAGGCCATCTCACTGGAGGCGTCAGTAAGTTGGATAATGTGATAATTATGTGAAAACTTGACCATTATTTTTACATTTACTATCTGACCTCAATTAAACACCTTTTGTCTAAAGTTAAAATGAAATATTGGAAATGGGTGATTCATTCTCCACCGAAGTGAATCTATTAGAGCTCCTATAGTGTGCATCTTAACAGAACGTGGTAGTCATTCAATGTCCTTCTGTCTCAAAAGGAATTTGTTTTAATCAACATTAATGAAACATAGGCTAACCAAGCATTTGAAAATTGGATGTAGTTTTACAGTTAATTACATGTCACATAACAAGCATAACGTGTTTAAAATGCCTTTGCAGGGCGTTGTTGCATGTTATTAGAATGTTGGCGTGTCAGCTCTAAATGAATTTGAGCTACACTGCAAATAGATCCTATACACTACATCATATATCACTAGTTTATTTAAGTTCAAACTGATTCTTTGCTGATGTAGGCTACTGTGGTGTAAAATCACAAGTTACCTTCTACTCTTATAAGATATTATAGGGTGATGTTGATCTCCAAGGTATTATGACTCTATAGAGACTCCTCAGTCACACCCCTCCTCTCCCTCTTGTCTTGTAGTTGCAGGTAAAACGGTGTCTGGAGTGTCTCAGGTGGGCGGAGCTATGGTTACCGGGGTTACAGCTGTGGCCCAGAAAACTGTGGAGGGTGCTGGCAATATAGCTGCTGCCACTGGATTGGTCAAGAAGGATCCAGCTAAACAAGTAAACATACAAACATACATACATACACACATACATATATATATATACATATACATACATAAAAAATGTACTTGGGGGGAATGCATTTTATTTTATAAAATGTGTTATTTTAGTACTTCACTTCTATAGGCTGGAGTTAAGACAGTCGAAAATACCTTTATTTTAACATTAGGCTGAAGGACAGGTAAGAATTTTGCAGCAGAATGTACTATTTATTTTATTTTTTATTTTTTTCAAATTCTGAGGTTTAGGTTTAATATCACTGTAATTACTAGGTCATATGAAAAAATAAACATGTCTTCAGCATAAATAAACAGATGTTTGGGGAGCTACTCCAGTACATTTAATTTATGAATCTATTTCAACAGAACTGACATATTTTAATTTTTTCACCATAATATTTAGAGACAGTTTAGTATGTTGACAGTTGTGCATGCAGTGGATGCATTATGGAGTTTGCTTTTATCATCTTTCCAGGTTCTGTAAATATATTGTGTAGCCCTAGTCAGCATCATGTTCTTCATTGTAGTGCATACTGGTTGCTATAGAGAAAATTAAATATTCCTTCTACGTTGTCCTATTTGTTATTGATTCATCGCCATCTGCAACCAGCCATGAGGCCTGACACTGTCAAAATGGCCTGCCGACCTTGAGTCTCTTGTCTTTGGTGCTATTCTTCCTCTTCTATGAATTGAAATCCAGTATACATTGCTGGCTTTTGTGCTGGGCACATCACAAGATTAGCTTTCACTCAAGCCAATTTACCATAGTAAACAATTTATAGCTGTCAAGAAAGAAAAATGATCTCTTCTCCCATTTTCAGTATTTTGGTTACAGCTTATTTCATTTTTTTATCTACATTGCTTTAATTGTGATTAATCTTTTAATCAATGTATGGGGAAAAAAAAACAAAAAAAAAACCTCAAAATCCAGAGCAGCACAAACTGAGCACAGGGCAATCTGCTCCTCTTGAGACTTTGATTTGCTTTTATTAGGTGTAATTTGAGAACATTATTAATATGAATTAAATGCACCCTTAAACTTAACCAGCTAGTGGCACTTGTGTGTTACAACAACTACAGCACAATATGCAGCTAAACACTATTTTTGCCCCAAGGGGTAGTTGTTGACGGAACTCCACCTGGAACGTGATTTGTCTTATTATGAGGATGTCTACTGTGCCAAGATGGCCGACTAGACAAACTAATGAAAAAGGACTAAACAAACATATTCCAACAACCAGACAAACATGGAGTAAACGTGAAAATCTCTCACATGGAGCCAACATGACAACAGCTGCATATTGTCCTTATTTTACCATTATTATCAATCCAGTTATTAAAACTCATTAATATTCATTTGATTTTAATAAACGATGCCAGTTTGAAAGAGGCCATTTACGGCTGTCTATTGCACACACAAAGATGCAAACAGTAGTCAGGATTCAAGGTTTACTTTAGATTAATCTCCTTAATCTCACAGTTTTCCCTCATTTATCAGATGCTCTGAGTCATTCTGTGTGAGAGGGGGCTAAAGTATGACTGAAGACTATTCATCACACCAAAACCTTGACTTTCAGTAAACTGTGTCTCCCTCTCTTTCAAGTAATTTCAGCTAAAATTGATTTTTATGGCAGAGTTGTAGCGTACACATTCTTATAGAAAATCATTAACTGTTCATAAATAGTTTTACAACTTCTAAACATATTGCTGGCAGTGAGCAGGACTTTTGGACTGTGTAGCTGGACGATGATTGATGCATTTTGTTAGATTTGAGGTGTAATTAACAAGCTAAGGTTATGTGAAAATGGGGCACATCTTATATTCACACAGGTTAGTGTGCTACAACTGCTTCTCCATTAAGAAGGTCACTACAAAGACAGGGCATAATCAAGGGCCCTTGTGTCTTCTTCCCTGATCCTGATAATGACTATTTGATGTATTTTGGCTTTATATGTTTTTTTGTGGCTTAAGGCAAATCCTTGAAGAGTTTCCGCTAATGATGATAGTTTTCGTGTGTATTTGGTAGGGTTGTCAAAATAAAATCATTCAGTTTTGGATCTTTGTCAGAACTCATAAGAGACTCAAAAGGCTGAAGATCAAAATATTAAAAATATGAGCTTTGAGGGATATACCTAACACAGCACACCACATACTATTGTAGTCACAAACTAGGAAGAAATATAATACTGTAAAATCATATACCGTTTAAAATTGTTTACACATTAGAGATCATTTAGAATGTGCACCCACACACTTGTGTTGTCTTTCAGGAGACTGAAGATGTGGCAGCGTTGCAGGATGTGGCAGAATCACCTGTCGACACAGACACTCCTGATGCTACAGAAGTAAGAGACGGCTTTTAGAACAGTATTAAAGTGTTTTATCATAATGTCTTTGTGAGACAATTATGGAAATGCTTGTGTCTTACAGGAAGACTCTGATGATTAAAACAATCCAAGTGGAAGATTTGTGACCAAAACATTCCATGTCGCTCTGCCAAGTCCCGTTGTGCCTCGTCTGGTCCTTGATGAAGTCTGTGCGTGTCATTGTGTGCTCTTGTGTACCTGTTGTGTGTGTGTGTGCGTTTATGTCGTAGAGGAGAGGCATAGGGCGTGTGTCTGTGCCTTTTGCACATCAGCCCTGAGCTGAGCCTCGGGCCGTGCAGCGCCTGCCACCAGCTGTCGTTCCCAGTGCCTCCCTCCCACTGAGGACACCACCTGGACCCTGTGTCTGTAACATGTGAGGCTTTCTTAATAACTCAAATATGGAAATATACCCCCAAAGCACCTAAGTGTCTCTATGTAAATGTACAATTTATCTGCTTCAAAGCAAAATGATAATCTATTTTTACTGGTATACTGTCACAGTTAATAATGTACTATTAAGTGCTAAGCTATTAGTGAACTCATTTTATTCAGCAGATAACGCTGCTAAACCAGAATATATCATAATGTATGGCTGTCTGGAAACTCTGAGCATGTTAACTTTTTCAGCTTTACTGCTGTGTGGATAACATGAATAAATGTTTAGAACTAAGTGTTGAATAAAGAATATGAAGTATACAGCTCTTTAGTGTGACAATATTTTCATCTATAAAGGTTATTAAAGTTAATGTTTTGTTAGTACATTAATGTTGTGTGCTCTTTTTAAGATGTGAGTGCTGTTGGGCCATTTTGTTGTCTCACCATATTTTTCCACTACCTTCAGAAGTAGGCCACATGACAAGTCTCTTGATAGAAACACCTACAGTATAAGTGGGTGCATGTGTTAAAGCACATGTGAAAACAATCCTTTGGGAGAGAATACAGACTAACGGTCATCTAGGCACCAAGTATCCCTATAGCAACCCAGCAGCCAGTAACAAGATTGGTACATTGGGTATATGTCAAGCATTTTTATATGCGGTGTAATGTATATTTCTAATGCAGTGTGTAAACAACTGCTTAGACAATCCTTTATATAATATTAGATACATTAATATATTAAATGGTCTACTTTGCACATCCTAGAAGAGCTTCATTTTTTACAAGGACAAACAATAAATCAGCCTTTATATTTGTGCAATGAATAAGATGAAATATAATTTCACTGCAGCCACACTTGTTGCCTTTACCTAATCGTACTTGCTGGTAGTAGAAATCCAATCAGTAATGAGAGTATGTTAATTGCTTGCAGTTGCTAATTATGTAGAACTTAAAGAGTGTCCTTGGGCAGGACAGTTCATCCACCTTGCTTACACATTGCAGTGAAAAAGGTAATTAGACACATAAAAAGTGTTCAGTTAAGAAAATCTAAAAGGTGCTACCTGAAATTTTCATTAGATTTTTATAACAACTAATGTAATATACACAAGCAAATTCAAATTAGACAAACATTAAGCAACTAATGTAAAAACAACTGACACCATACCTGAAATGCAGACATCACAGGAACATGATGGCATGGGGCTTTACGCAAACAAATCCAAGGAAATTGTAATATTGGTTTCAGAGGAAGAAAATGAAGCAACTAGAGTGGCCCAGGCTATCACTTGGCCTGAATCCAATAGAAAACCTACTGAAGAGAGACTCATGAAAACCAAATGTTTTTGTGGAAGAGGCCCACACCACATTTGTGCAATGCATGAATCCATATTGCCATCAATACAGCACAGGAGATGTGTTAACTTTTCGTTACCAAATAACTCTATTAACTTTATATGGGTTTCAGCAAATGCATAAATCAGGTGCGAGTCTGATTGAGCCAGGTGACAAGCCTTTTAAAGTGACACTGAAAGAGACGTTTTAAAAAGCTAACTAGACTTTAGTTGGTTTGGTTATTAAGATTTTATGTGTTTTGCATTTTCAATGACATAACACTTCTGTAATAAACATTACTATTCACTTAGTAAATAATGTATCCAGGTAGAAAGTTAGAGCAAGTTGAAAAAATCTATTATCTTGTAAACCTCTGTTCAGGTGGGCATTGCATGAAAAGTGACATTTTGCATCTCATTTTTTCTTCATCCTCTTGAGGGCCTTCCACTCTCCCTCCTGTGTGGCCAGACTGCCTAATAATTCCTTCACCTTTCTCTTTCTCTCCATGTCCCTGAAAAATAAGACGTGAAACAAGTTCAGGGATGATGGGACAAGACAGAATCAATACAACTGAACGACATTAGAAAACAAGCAAGTAAATGTCAAATGGGTAAGACTTTCGCATGACATCATTCAGCTTCTCTCTGGCCAGGAAGCGCGAGTCCTTCCTGATTTCCCTCAAAGCCCCCTTAAACTCCTTCTTATACTTGTGCTTGAGACGTTCCTTCTCCCGCTCCTCTCGAGTGCTGCCATGCTTCTTACCATAGTCCAGTCTGAGAAGAAAAGTTGAAATGGCTGAGCGAAGAATACCTAAAACGAAAAAGTTACTGAATCACCACTTACATTTCAACTATCTTTGGCGTTAGTAGTTTCAGAGGAATAGGCTTCTTCTTCTCAAAGACTAAAGGAGTGTGAGTCATCGTGGCACTAATAGCATCTAGGATGTCACTGTGAAGAGTCTAAAAAACACCAAAGGAACAAAGGAGATACAAAACAACGAGCGAGAAGTATTTCTACTTTTATATGTAGCCCATTTGACACCTACATGCAATACTTCTGGTAACGCTTGCACAGGGAGATGATTAGAGAGAAGTGTTTTGAGAGGTCTGTAGATGTGGCTATAGGATGGAAGGTCTTTGTAAAGCAGTGAGCACCTCTTCACTAGGTCCAAACAAAGTGATAAACAGGACAATCTGCAAAGCAAAACAAAAATGTTCACTTCTAAATTCAGTCTAATCAGATTGTCTGTTGCCTTGGCATCAAAGAAACAATATAGGGATATCTAACTTTTTTTTTGTGCTAAAAATCAAATATCGTATTTGTCTGCATCAACAGAGCCCATTGCCTGCATAATATTGTGGACTACCAATTGGTGGACTACCCCAACAAGGATCTTTGCGTAGAGTTGAATGTCCATGTTTGTCACTGTGACGCCTGAGGGAATGCTAGACACCAAGGTGCCAGTCACAGAAAGTTGTTTAAGTGCCTTAAACAGGCAGTTAAAAAGGAAGGACAGTTAAAAGGACAGCTAAATTTACACAAAAATAGTATAGTTAACTGATTTTCTGAGTAAAGCATCCTTGGATAAAAGCTGTAGATGACAGAATTGAGGGGTATAACTGGTTCTTAATTATAGAGGAGAACAAATATAAATGTACGCTCATGCAGAGTGCCTACGATTCAGCAAGGCTTGTTTGGAGTGAGTTGTTTGGTTTGTGCCCACACACCAGCTGCTGTGTGAAAGCATGCAGGCCACTCATCACAATCGCACAAGTGCTTCAATCAGCAATAAGCCACGGTCTGGCCAGGTAAACAGGCTTATGCTCCATCCTATCCTTTTACACACTTGAAAGAAAACACGCTCATTATTATAACAAAAGGTTTACCTGTGGTGGTCTTTATCAAGTTCACTGCTAAACTCCTGGTGAAGGGCTGCAGACAGAGGAATGGGGCTCTGACTCCAGCTCCTGCAGGACTCTGGGTCTGATAACACAAGAAGATCACTGTGCTTCCCAGTGGGCCTAAAAGGTGGTACCACTTTATAGCCTGCAAGACAACATGTGGTTAATATGTTTTTATGTTATTTGATTGTTTTTGTTTTTGTGACTGAGGTTTTGATTTTAGCAGTGGTTACCAAGAGAATTCTTTTCTTTGACAGCTACATGTAGAATTCCAAGAAGGAAATTTACAAGTTCAGGCAGGAACCGCTTTGAGAAAGAGATGTACTCCACTGCCAGACAACACAGCACAAGGCCTACTGTTACATCCTGGAGAGTTCTCACTGGACACTGAGCGGAGCCAAACAAAAAACTTTCACTTATAAATTTGTTAGGACTTTACAATAAAAACAAAAGTACAAGCTTTTGTATACCTTCGTTAAAGCCTGGCTGATATACAGCAGTGTTGGAGTAGTGACAGGGTGTCTGAAGTCAGACGTTGGAAATAACTGTGCTGTCACCTTCAGGTAAATAAGCTAAAACAGACAGAATTGTAAGCATTTGAAGAAAAATATATGCAAAAACATAGAATAGGTTTCATACCATGTCAAGTGTTGGAAAAGGAGCATAACCTTTGCCTTCAAGCATTTCTTCCATGTTGTGAGTTGCATCTCCAATGATGGTCTGCATTGACTTACAGGCTGCTTCAGGAAACATTTGACACAGACCGTACAGCTCCCTGCACAAAGAAACTAAATACAGTCAACATTTTATCTAAACAAAGTTGAGTAAAATAACCAAGTGTTCTTACGGTATGAGCTTATCAATTGTGGTCAGTTCAGGGGGAGTTTTTGTAGCCAAGTCTCCTATGTACTCCAACAAAAAGCCAAATAGTTTCTGGAAATTTCAACAAATGTGTTTGAGCAAGTGCCTTATAAACATATTAATTATTACACTTTTAAGAGAAAAATACCTGCAATTTCAGCTTATTTCCTACAGCTAAACTTGGGTGGTTACATTTCTGAGTTCTAGTCACAATAATGCGCTGGTTTTCACCAGAGTGGCCACTAAGCAAATCTTTTAGGTCCTTATAACTTTCTGGAGCTGTAAAAGATTAAAAATCAATTAAAATTAAGAATCAGTTTGATTCATCACTGGAATTTTAAAATGAATACTTTCAGTTTTTAACTCAATACTCACCAGCAAATGTGTATGGAAGTTCAGCTTTTGCAGCTTCCTTCTGGGCCTTCAAGTCTTCTTTGCTCAAAATCTTTTTTGGTTTGATCTCTTCCGTTGGGGGTTTTTCTTCATCTTCATCTGAAGTGCTTTGCTCAGATTCTAGATCTGAGTGACCATCCTCCTCCTCCACTTCATCACTGCCATCATCCTCTTCTTCGTCACCCACTTCTCCCTCATCTGAATCTGCCTCCTCAGCATCATCATCATCTGCGTCTGACTGATCCTCTTCACCATCTCCTTGTTTCTCATCATCATCATAGTCATTGCCTACTTCCTGTCCTTCATTCTCCTCTGAGATATTCCATTTTCCATCCTGTGCAGACAAACACAATCTTACAGAAGCTTACATTAAAGGTAACTTGGTCTAAATAGAGCATTTGGTTTGCCTAAGAAAGTTGGCTTGAGAATGGCATTAAAGTTATCCATCTCCATGGAGACATACCAATGGTGAAAACAGTTCAATATATAGGTAACACCTACAAAGAGGTGAGCCTGCTCACAGAATGGATATCTAAGTATTTCTAAGAAAACCCCTGTAATTAAATGTCTTAATCTTTGCCATGCCTAAATTTTTTAGTTTAGCCCCTCACCCGAAAAGTTATGCAGTGCACCTTTAATAAATGAAAGCGATGAAAGTATAAGTCCTGCTACCTCATATGCCAGAGTCTTTTTATCGTTCTTATCCAGAATAAAGCCATCGTTTAGGTCATCAGCCGACAAGTGCGCTCGACTTTGTCTTTGCGCACCATCACCTGCTTCCTCTCCCAACATTCTCCTCAGGCGGTCAGCCTAAATATACAGAAGACAAAGATAATTGTGAAATATAAGGAAAAGTGAGGTCACATCTGTAAATACACACCTCTAATTTTTGAAGCTTCTCCCTCTCCTCTCTGGCAATTTCCTCTGGGGTTTTCAACTTCTCTGATGGTTGAGCTTTCATCTCAAAGCCAAGCTCTCGAACCATCATGTCATACTCATCAAGCTGAAACAATATAACATAAATGAACGCATAATTCATTCGGACACTGTAGTAACTGTTTTTGTTTGTGTGTTAAAATAGTACCTTTGGCTTCTCCTCTGGTTTATCAGTCTGATCAGATTTGGGAGTTTTTTTCACCATCAAGGCTTGAATGCTTTTCCACTCCTGGTCAAGCTTTTCCGTCAGCTCCTGTGCTTCTTCTTTCTGCACTTGCCGTTCACGCTGCCAAACATACACAAAAAGCACATTAAGCTTTTTATTTGAGTATTGCTATTTACATACTTAGATCATAAGTTTACATTTTCTTCACTGTAAAAAGCAATCTTCATCTTCATTTAAGATAACTTAATACTAGTAACAGGTCCATTGACCTCCTATTAAAAACTGTAGACCTCCTTAATCACATTCACCCTAAATAAGCAGTATATTTTATTTTTTTTTATTTTTTTTACTTTGAATAAATGCAAGTAAATACAGAGAAACAAGGTTCTGAGCACTCAAGTCTTAATTGCAGGACAATGCAAGACTGCTCAAACATGCATAAATCTAAATACAACTTTGAGTATGCTAATGATGAGGGAAAACTGTCAGAACATAGTTAAAAACTATGCAAGTTGATTATACACAATGTGTCAACCTTTAATTGATAGTCAACATTCTACATTTCAGATGAATAATGGCTTACTTTTTCCTGTTTGGACTTTTGTATGAGTTCTTCAATGAGCTCTTGTCTGGATTTGGCTCTCTGAGTGGTCTCATCATCTGGCTGCTGCCCTGAACCTTTTTTTCTGAGAAGACCACCGCCACCAAAGTGCGAAGCAGTCAGTTCGGCTATGGAAAGGCAAGGTATTAGCTGAGAAAATGGTCAAGTAGAGTGAGAATAATCATGCATCCACAATTTAATTAACACCTGACAATAGACCCTTCTCTTCATTTTCGTCATCACTTCCAACAGCATCATTGAATTTTTCAATTTCAGCCAATGATTGTCCATAGTGAGTGAGCTCCTCTTCTTCATTCAAGTTGTAAATATCTTTCTTATCATGGGTACGCTGCAAGGAAATAGGATATATTTAGTAAAATAATAGTAACTCCAAAAGCCAAAATAACCATTTTAAACTACATTACTGACCTGTCGCTCCATGGCAAACCTCTGCAGGATTTTGTCTTCTGGGGCCATCTTGGAGTCATACTCTCCCAAACGTCTGTCAATGAATTTATTTGATTTGTTTTTCTGTCTGTACTCCTTTAAAAGAGTTTCTTTTCTCTAAAAGAAAAACAAGTGTGAATACAAGAATTAGCATTATTCTATTTAACGATGCACCAAGTAACGTTTATGGTCTCCACCATTTGCTTGTCTCCATTAAGATGATATTGTTTTTTGCCTGCAATGTCCCACAATATGAAAGTAAACTTATGTGCATGGCAGGCCCGGGTCTACAGGGGTGCCAAAGGGGGCACTGCAACCTAATTTTAAAAGGCTTGAACCCTCATTTTAGGCAGATCAAATAATGACAGTTAATGGAAGAATACGGTCTTTGCACCCCTTTAAAACTCGTATGTATCCTCAGTCAGTTTAGTCTGAACCCGCCGCAGGTCCGTGGAGACAAGCAGGTGACTCCTCCAGGCCATCTGTGGCAAGGCGAGCCTGTTCACTACAAGAATCTTCTTGAAAATATTTTGAGCAACAAAGAAAAGTTATTGCGCACACGAAGTAGGCTAATTCTGACATTATAGATGCTTTACCTTTGTGATGGCTTTGGAACGTGAAACCCCTGGTAGGCCAACGTCATGTTTGGATTTTCTTCCCAAAACATCAAATTTCTTCCTATTAATTTTCACCTCAAAAGGGTTGTTCTTTATCTCAGTAGAAGTTTTGGTCTTGCGAACCTTGTCGGCGAGGTTCCGCTTTTTAAGAGGCTTGCCCATCTGCAGCAAAAATGTAATGTTAAAACGACAACTTGCTCTAAATGTATAAGAACTGGTATTAAACAAACCAATATAAGCGGAAGATACTTTTTTTTTTTTTTTTTTACCTTTGCACGAAGTTAGAAAAGTATTTGTTCTGTCCGTCTTGAAGATATCATGAAGTGACGTGCAGTGTTGCATTTAGTAATTTTAACAAAACAATTGCATCTCTTCAATCCACGCTTTCCCTTAGTTGCCACAAACCAAACAGCATGGAGGGGGTCAAAAGCAAGAAGCAACTTCCGCCGTAAAACCCAATCACAGCGCCTCCAGTGTTTGGGAGCAATAGTGACAACACAAGCTTAATTTACTTAGCCTGTATTATTCATGTTTTCTTAAAAATAGCTTTTAATCATTTCTTTCTCATAACTAAGTCACAAAGAACACACATACCATCTTATTTTCAAGTAGTGTTTAGTTATGGTTGTAAAAACATAGCCATGGCAAAGGAGCATTTAAGTATTATGTTGTAGTATATAGTACAATGAGATACATTAAAACAGTTCAGACATTGCATTGAAACCATGATTGACCTATATGATTGTGATACTGTGAGTTGATAATCGTTGAAAACAATTTAGAAAAGGTAAAGAGTTCAGTTTTCTACACAGTGCATAAATAAGTCACAGTAGGCCTATATATTCACATTATTGATTACTGAAAACAAAAGCAACAGCTGGCTGCTCTAGTGGATTAAAACAGCAAATAGGGGAGATTTGAATGTGAATGTACGTGCAGTTGTTGAACCATGATTTTTTTTTATGGTTATAAAAAAGTGCTATTAATCTTTTTTGTAATGGCTATTCGAAGTGGTTTGAGTCCAAGACAATAGCTAATCCACAATCATTCCAAATTATATGACAAGGCAAGGAATAAAAATTAAATATATTTGCATGTTATCAACAGAACTGTTTACAAGTCAGTGTAAAACAAAAAGCTAAAATAAACTCACTCTTGTCTCCAATACATAATCCAGCATCACTTTCGACACAAACCTTGATCACTTTGCTTTATTGCTCATTGTCTGTAAATGGTGTGGTCATAACATGTCACATTAAGGCATTGATAAAATGTCTACTGAATAAAACTGACATTAACTGTAACTTTGTGATGGCTAGATATACCTGGTGAATAAAATCCACCCAAAGGGTTTACTTTCAACTGCAAGGGGTTACCAATAAATGAAGATACAAGATCCATTCATTGTTCACTGAACACTGTTACAATCCCATTACATTCTAGTGGTTACAACAGTTGATATAAAATAAAACAGTTGGTTAAAATCCTTAAACCACAGTTAAAATGTGCTAATAAACATGCATTAAGCAGTTAGACAGGATGGACTGAATGCATCTCTACTTAAAGCCAATATCAAAAACCATTATGTAATTAGGTTTATACATTGTATACAAAGTTGGCACACGCTAACACAAAAAAATCATAGATGAGAATGAAAAGCTTAACTGTTAAGTGTGACATTTTGCAGGGAGCAAATGTAAATGGAGGTGTTCAAAGCTATGGTTCGGTCTTTTTCTTGTTTTTTTTCAAAAAGGAAGGTGTACGGAACTTCTTTTTCTTTTTGGAGGGGGACTTGCTAGGGGAGTCATCGCCCTCCTGTTCCCCTTCAGCAAGCTCCTCCCCCTCGGCCATGTCGGTTGGAGCAGGGGTGGAGTCTTCTGCAGCTGGGTCAGGGGCGGCATCTTCTGCAGCTGGGTCAGGGGCAGCATCTTCTGCAGCTGGGTCAGGGGCAGCATCTTCTGCAGCTGTTGCAGAGTCCTCAGCAGGGGGAGCTGTAGCATCAGAGGGGTCATCAGGGGTCAGATCAGGGAGGGTCTGTCTCAGGGTGGCAGCATCACTCTCATCTTTAAAGGTCTGGTCTGGCAAGGACTCTGATTGGAGGAGAAATAAAAAGTTATTGATTTAATAGAACTAAAGAAGTGAACTGTTATTACAGCACTAGTCAAAGCATTCAAAGAGAAACCCACCACATTGTACGTTACTGGGAGATATTCTTTTCAGCTCTCACATTAAGCAATGCTTTTACACAAGTGCAAATGTCTTCATGCAACCCTTATGTTAGAAGCGAAAAAACAACTCCATCACCAATGTCCAACTCCTCCTCCTACCATGTTAATACACTATAATCATCAAATGAGAGAATCACACTGCATTCTTTTACCTTTACTTAAATAGGGAAAACCTAATCAGTGCAGTTCCCTTGTTCATTTGCAGCCTGTGTACAAACACAAACATGGCTAAACATTCAGTAAAATGGACAGTGAGTAAAGAGCACAAGAAAGGTGTAAAATTGTTCAACAGCATCAGTTGTAGCAATCCCAATTTCACAAATTATAGAAGTTAAAGCTAAAATTTGGGTTAATAAAATGCAGTTACAGTGACAAATGTCTAGATATTTAGTCTTTTACTTTCACTTAAATTAATCAGGCATTTAACAATAAAAGTATATATATTCAACAAATGTTTCAAAATAAAAACATAACAAGCCAAGTGGGGGGTTTCAAGAAAAAGCAGCAAATCTGAGCTATGATATGATATATTATATTATGATATGATATATTAAAGCCACATTTCCACACATTATTGATGTACCTGGTAAAGGATTCATCTGTAAAACAAACAATCACCAAGACAGAAAACATTGAATTGTTCGTGTGTACACAAATATAAATAATCATTTTACATGGATAGGTGATATTTGTGTCTTAAGTGGTTAGTTGTTAGGAAAATACAGGGCATTTAGTTTAGCTTGTTGCAGGGATTAATCCTGAACATCATCTGGCTCTATGAAACTAGTCAAGATTCGATTGCTTTTATTATTTATTGTTCCTGAATTACACCAAACATTGTTCCGAAATAATCCCCATCAACAGCACGAGTTTCAGAGAGGCCAGCTTGACACCCAGTTTTAGTAGAAAGTACGGATCGGTTTAGCCATGCACAGAAAAGGGGGAGATGGCCACACACAGGTGAAGGGTTAATAAGAGGGTGATGAGGCAGATGGAACAGTACGTACTTACTATGGCAACAGGTATTCTTTTGTATTTCCATCTCCTGATTGTAAACGCAGCCACAAAGAAGAAAAAGCACAAGTAGAAACAAATGTCGGATGCAGATAAAACCACAAGCATTGAATTAAATGCAAAGGCCAAAAAAAAGACATCAGGAGATTTGAAAAGAATGGCTGAGAACCATTCTTAATAAGTCTGAAAAATATGAAGAATGAAAGTGATGGTGTGGATGATAATCCATACACCAAGTGGCATGTTAATTCACAACATTTTGTCCATTAGATTACACCTTGACTCCTTTTTTATTATTACAAACCATATTTGCAGTATTTTGTGGATATTAATGAAGGAGGTGTAATCCAATTGTAATAAAGACCAAGAGGGGGAAAGAAAATGAAACAAAGAAACGTTTCCAGAGACTTTCAAGTTGAAGCCACAAGTATGCATGAATGAAACTGAAAATAATCCTCTTGGTCTTTTATTACTCATCTTACAGTTACTTGTAGTTAAATTAAACAAAACCACAATATGACCAGAGTCCAAGGCAAACAGGCAGATGGAAGGATAGAAGCCTTCGCATTCCCATATGCATCCAAAGGTGGCAGCTGTTTTCAGGTCAACATACCTTCCTCTGCTCGGACAGGGGTGCTAGGGGGAGTGGAGACAACCTTCAACTCTTTAGCTTCATCCTCCGGTTCCTCAGTTTGCTCTGAATATAAAAAATGCAGACAACACAGTGACTATGACTTTCTTTATACAAGTATGTAAAACAAAAAAGATTTAGGGAAAGTGTTGGATAACAGGTTTTAGCCCATGTTATACCCCTGGGAAACACAACACTGCAACATAATGAAACACCAAATCATGGGAAGGAAGCTTGATCAGATTAAAGATGACACAGCATAAAATCACGATTGAGGTTGCTAGAAAACATTTTCACAAATAATACCAAGAAGCAAATAAGCGCGCACACCACCGTTATGTTTTTGGAGGAAAATATAGTGAGGACCAGTGAGGACACTAACATCTCCCTCTGGGAAAGGTTAGAAAAAAGCAAAAGGTGACACCACTATTTATGTCCATACATGGGATTGCTCTGATTGGATGAGCTCAGGAGTAGAAACTTACTACTTAGATTAGAAACATAAACAAAATAAATTTCAGGAGGTTTGTGGCTTACAGATCGACAAATAAAAGTCTTTCGTCATAGCTCCTTGTCCAATCAAAATGCAGAGTAGTGATCTGCTTAGCATAGATGCCTTGGGAGAAGACATCATGGAAATAGGAAGGGAAAAATGAGATTGAGAATAAAGCACGACAATGGCAGCAGGCTCCCAACCCCCAGGAAAGGAGAGCATACAGCAGAGTCCCAGCGCAGAGGCATGTAGTGAGACGAACTAGGGCTGAGCAGGAGGGGAGGGGAGGTTTAGCAGCACGCCACTCCTTCCTGTGTACCTGTGGCCTGCACCGCCTCAGCCGCATCTACCACTACAGGCTCCCTGCTGAGGGCCCGCAGCACGGCACTGTGGAACTCCTTCTGGGGGGACTCGAGAGCACGTACTTCCTCCTCTGTTGCAGCAAAAACATCATCTGCAGATTCCCCTAAGCCATCTGCACACAAGTCCTGCTCAGAGGCGGGTGTGGCAGGGGGAGGAGCCACCCGATCTAAACTGGGAGAGTCATTGGCAGACGGTACACAAGGCGAAACTGACTCAGAAATCGCTGCTGTGGAGGTCAGGAGAGCTCCAAGACAGGTGGAGGCTGTTCCCTCCTTGGGATTCACTTTTGCCAAGGCTGTAAATGTGTGTGTGAGCATGCAAAACATAACATCACAGAATATCCCTTCAAAACCAGTCATTGTCTTACAAAGTACATATATTAATTGTCTAAAGCATTTGTTACCTTCAAGGCCTTTTTGTTTGAGCTCCACCTCTCTGCGGTACTCCTCCAGCTCCTGGTCAGTGAGTTTGGTGAATGGATTGGGACCCTGCTTACTGACAATAACCTTGGGTTGGTACTCCTTTTCAATGATGGCTTTAGATGCAGTCACCAACTCCCCCTTCGGGACACACAAAGGAATGACAGTGAAAAAGACGTTGAATAGACGGCATACTTAACACCAATGTAGACCATAAATTGCACTAAAAAGCTATTTAAAAAATCCTTTTCCTTGCACTACATTTTATTGTTCATAGATTAATGTCTGAAAACCTGAAAGCATAAGCATATTTTATCACTTAAAAAAATCAAAGGCAAAACAAATTGCATTTTTCTTTTTTCCAAAAATGTTCAAAAGTGAAATATTTTGAGATGTGCATTACAGGTGAAAAGGACTGGTTGTGACAGTAAGTACCTTTCTAAATGATTTAGCAGGACTATAGGACCCCTCGGACACATCAAGGCCATCAATAGTATCTGTACAGTCAGACAGAGGGGCATCCTGCAATAGTAAACCCAGTGAAGGGAAAAACCCAGCTCTTAGGTACCATAATATGCTCAAATGAATTTTTGGGGGGTGGAAATGTGTGAACATCCGCATGTGCCAAGTTCACCATACAAAGGTGGAAAGAGTCTTCACACACTAAATTCAAGTTAAAAACTTAACTTTATCACATCCAAAACAAAGATGCTGTGGTTCAAATGCCTATAAGATAATTCTTAATTTTTTCTAAAAAAAACAGTACCTTTTAATATTCTTTCCACCTCTGTAACCACAAAACATACTATGCTAGTTTGTAGACATGAACGTACATGCAAAATTAAAAGCTACAAGAAAAAAATGGTAATGATGCGGAAATATAATGGGAATATGCACTGTAAATGTATAGTTATACGTTCTTGATTTTTAGACACATTACTGATGTCTTCTCTATCTGTTGAAGCTATTTGGGTACATTTCAATGGGAGACTATGGATGGAAGTAAACATGCCAACTCAGAATATCCTAATAAAAAAGGTTCTCAATAGAAAATTATTTCATGCATGGAAAAATAGATTTTAGAAAAAATTATATTATAATAAAATTTCAGTGTATGAATATGAGCATAACCTGAGCTGGCAAATTGTCAGAGCAGATTGCAGTTACCTCTTACACATTACTCACCTGCCAGATTGACTTTGTCTGCAGTTAAAGAATAATGTCAGTTACAAAGGTCTCTATGCTCTAAGCCACCATTAGGTTACATTAAAGTTATTCTAGTCTTACTCCCAATAAGGTATCCTATAGATTGAATGATCACTATTATATCACTGTTTCTTCAAAGTAAATATTAAATAGTCTGTAGAAAAAACACTTATTTTGTGTGTGCAAACTGACCTGGATGTAGGTTCTTTCCACCACTGATCCAGAATAAAGAACCTGAGACTGGGGACCCGCCGTCTTTATGTCTTGCAAATTCTGTTCACGAATCTATAGAAATATAACAAATCTTAAAGAGTGGACTAAAAATTGATTTCCTAAAGTTCAAATAAGAGTCAGAAGGCATTTTAAAGTAAAATATGGTTACCTTATTCCTCATTTCCAGAACCTCTTTAGGGTTGGTGTTGAGGGGAATAAACTGATTGGCTACAGCAGCTTGACGAACTCCATCTTCCTTGGTCCACTGTCAACAAAATATGAATTGTTAATATCTAACAAGCCAAGGACTTTATAGCTGAGCAGCAATTTTTTAAAAAACATATTATGCAGGCTTTACAGTAAAAAAAACAAAAAAAACATGCTGAACTAAAAAAGTGTAAAATGACCTGGAAAACAAAATAAATGTAAGGCAATGGACCAATGATGATGATACATCTAAAATGTGAATGATCTGTCGCTCTTGTAGCTTATGACTAAAGTGGCATTTTACCCATCAAACCTTCAAGTGCATTCCTTGGTGATGATTTCTTGATATATGTTAAATAAGTTAAATGCCCAGCAGCAGATGTTAGTTAAATCTGAAATACTTAAGAATTTTTAGAGGTGTATCAAGCAGAAGAGATCATTTCTTTAGCCCCACATACTACAGTATTTTATACTCATTTCACACAACAAAAGTCACAGTTGTCATCATCATTGATAGGAATCCAAGAATCAAAAAGACTAGTGGATTAACTGATGAACTGAAAACAGCACACAGAGGGTGGACAACATAAGAGGGGGATAGAGAAGTGTAGAGCTGGCAGTGCTGGGTGAAGAGTGGAAAAAGGATGGCTGTCTGAGACAATCAGACTGCTTACGAAGCGAGAGTGGCAGTGAGGGTGAGCTGGCATCACCAAAGTCATTTCCAGGCTGATACACAACAACAAGACGACAGAGATAAATAAGAAACACAACACTGGCACTCGCTGGCTGTGGGACAGCCACAGTGGTACAAACACAACTTGTATCTTTACTCTTTCCATAATCAGGAAGATTTTGTGAACCTGGTAATGCTCAGCAGAAATTAACCCAGATTTTGCACCAAATTAATAGTATTGCTGGTGAAAATATAAAGCAGGTTATCAGCTGCCATGCAAAATGTTCAGAGCATCTTTAAAATAAGGCATGTAATTCACTGAGAAAAGCATCATCATTCTTGTATTTACTCTGAGCTTGGCTGTGAAACCAAAAGCCACATGAGCAAAGGGTTCAAGATGAAGTAGCCGAGCCAGTCTGATCAATGTGTGATGGACATATAAACACGATATACTCACAGAGGGCCTGACATTTCCTAATTTTTCAACAGGAGATTCACAATCAGATCATAATTTTCTTTTTCAGCATACTCATTCATGCAAACATTTTTTTTTCCCATCATAATAAAAATAAAACCCTCACAAAAAACACAAATTCTAAGAATGAATGTCTAAACATAAGTGAGTTAGGTGAGTCTCTACACTTCTAATGAGTTATTAGATTTGGAACTTATTTTGTTTTAACATAAATGCACTGAGAATTAAAACCGTGAATGTGTATTCAGAAGTGAGTTAAAAACTTAGTAAGTAACTTGGCTCCAAACATTTGCCCACTCAAGGAACTCATGCCACACCCCTGCTGCCCGCTCCTCTGGGGAAAAACATCAACAACAGTGCATTGGACTACCATACATGCAGTGAGGCATGCTGTGGGCAGCTGGCCTGGCATCATGACGCAACTGGAGACGGAAGGCAGAGCGCGAAGAGGGTCAAAAATTGATCCGTTTTTCAGTGTGAATAAACAATTAGTTAAAATTATAACTAACAGATTTGCCATTTCCTGTATCCTGAATGTTGTTTGTTGTTGTTTCTCTGTATCCTCAAAGCCTCATAATGCCGACCATTTACCCTTAGCACTACCGAGGTAGCTGTAATTTTTTCTATACTATGAACAATAAGGTAGGCACAGACCAAGCAGTTGGTTATACAGCTTGGCACGCAGACACCGGACGATAGAGACTGCAGCAAGGGTTTGACGTGATCATGTGTTATGTTCGTCCACACCTTTGGCTTGGACTTGGGGCTGCTGCCGTCTGGCCCATCGTCGTACGGCTCGTCAGGTCGGCCAGCCGCATTGAGCCAGCGAGTCTTGTCGCGCTGGCCGCGCTGGAAGCTGTGTTTGAGTGGGGAGCGGGCCCCTGAGTCACTGTCCTCCCCATAGGAGTAACCACCGTGACCAGAGGGAAGATCCACATCACTGTACTTTTTAGTTTTGTCTCTTAAAGCAGGACAGCGATAAGGATAGCCTGTCCGGTAACCCTAAAGATGATTAAAAAGATTAAAAACATAGTTAGCTTGAATTCAAATATGGATACAAACACAAGTGCTAATATTTTTCTTACCAGGTTATCTAACATTCGCATGAAAGCCTCAAACTCTTGCTCCCCAATTTGCCACTTGGGCTGAGTAGATGGCCCATCCCCCTCTACCTCTGGAACACGTGGGCGTGACTTGTATTTGCTAGGGTCCAGCATGACAAGATTGTCTGGCCCTCCAGCGCTGGCCAGCGTTCGCACCTACATAAAATCATATGACAAAAACACAGCGGGAAGAGACAGAAACAAAATAAACAAGCCAAAATAAGAAAAATTAATGAATATATAATCACAAAATGACATGAAGGAAGGTGAGCAAATGGTGAGGATAAAATGCCTAAGAGCTAGATTTAAACACACAATTACATTTATAAGACTAACCTGGATTTCACAGGCTGTGATCAGGTTGTGTATGTAATAGAAGGCTTCCTCCACTGTTTCACCTACAGCCACTAAGCCATGATTCCTAAGAATAAGGACCTGGCAAAGCAATAAAACTCATGAAAGTAACAGTAAAAGCTCCTTTTCAACATTTACAAACACACTTTGAAAAATGTACTTTGTTTTGGGGCCCTAAGTTTCTCTGTATGAGTGCACATTCCTCTTGATCCAGTAGTATGCCTTGATAGTCGTGGTAAGACACCTCACCAAGAGATAATGCTTCAGGTGAGATAGGCAAGAGGCCACATTTCATTGCTGAAACCTGCAACCAGACAATTAGAACAAATTCATACAAGACAACATTCAGATATTACTATTCAAAGTATATAGCATTTCTTACCGCAGCACCTGCAGCTGTGTGCACATGAACAATACATTTGACTTCTGGCCTTGATGAATAAATGGCAGAATGGAGAACAAAGCCAGCCTTGTTCACTCCAAGGTTGGTGCTGCCCCGATCCACTATTTCACCTTGAAGATCTAACTTGACCTAAAGGATACAATAAAAAGCCTGTTTGTAATAAAACACAAACTACAAAGTCTTTACAAAGTATACTACAAATTAACTAATTCTTACCAGACTAGAGGCAGTGACTTCACTGTACAGAAGTCCAAAAGGAACAATTAGGAATTGCTCCTGGTCTGCATTCAGTCTGACCTTTAGGATAAGAGTTAATCATTTGGTACAAGTTAAAGGGTTTGTTAAGCAAACATAGTTCAATGCTCACTATGATGTGATTTAAAATTGTCTTACTGTTAGATGGTTGTAGATAAGCTGTGACCAGCCAAAAAGATCAGTGAGCCGGTAGAAAGCTGCCAACTTGCAGCGTAGCATCTTCTCACCCTTATCATAGGAAATGGAGTCTGAGCCACGCAGGTCATTGACTGGAGTCACCATCCCTAAACCTTTTCAGAGACAAAAAAAGCATTCAAAGCTTTCAAATAATTAATTCAAAGAAATGCCCAAACTTCAGCAAATAATGCATTTAAGGCACTGACACCTGTATACTGTTGTATGTACTTACTCATGTTGAGTGAAGCCATGCCTCCTTGTGGAGCAGCAGGGTATATGGAGGGCATGCTTGTGGACATGAAGTCTGCGATCTGTTGCAGAGCCAGCAAGCTAGTAGGCGTCTTGCCTTTCTTTAACTGATCCTGAATCATGGTCTCAAGCTCCTCACAGAAAGCCTGGTGTGTGTTAGTGACAATACATGTATCACATATTAGAAAAGTTAAAATAGTAAGGCAGTGTAGTAGTGCTATATAGATAATTCAAAGTGCTAAGTTCTAACCGGGCTCTGCAGTATCATAGACACCCTCTTCTTCTGCTCCATCATGTTGAAGTCCTGCCTGAGGTCAGGGGCCATGTTCCTCTCTCTCTGGTACTCTGGGTTGCTCTCATCCACTCGATCAAAGTAGCGCTCCTTGTGTGGCGCTGTAGTGGGAGGAGGGGCTGTCACCACTCCTGCACCAGAGTCTCCGTTCATCCTGCCTTGTCCTCCTGCAGCGTTACAATAAAACAGATTGATACAATGTTTGTTCATTCACTTTTTTCTGAACTCATTGATGAAAAAAAAAAAAAAAATAGACATCTAACTAACAACAGTGCCATATTTTGTTAATGGATGTCTTGGCAAAAGCTGTTGCGGTCCATTAGTCTGCATCAATACAAATGTTCAGTCAGATCTACCATGACAACCAAGGAACGAAGCAGAAACATCCAGAGTCAGTTCACACTGAGTGCTTTCAAAGCCAGACTTTACCAGTCAGAACTGCATTGACAATAGTCTAGACTCTTGCTTGTCTGAAAAAGTCAAAAACATATTATTTCAGGGAACCTGTGACATATTACCCCTACAATGAGACAACTATCCTATTCTAGGAAAACATGTCCTTGTCATGTGTGCCAAAATTAGCCAGCACAGCAGTTTGCTGAAGGAATTTACATCTAGACAGTGTGAAAGAATGAAAGAAAGCAATTGAGGCTGCTGTGTTTGTTCATGTTGATAACAACAGTTAACGTGCATGCTGAGAATGCATAACCTATTGTTAAATTTTACTGAATTACAAGCTCAAAAAACATTTGAAGAATAGAGTCCCTGGTGTTGATGCAAACGTTGCACAAAAGGGCTGGTCTTCCTGTATTAAACCTCAGAATCAATGAGGAAATACAATCTTTATGTGCTTTTAAGTGCTGATAGCGCTACCCAGCTGAGTGCAGATGTACTCGGAAAGCATCTGAAAATTGCTTCCTACCAAATTAACAGTTGAGGCAAAAATAATTTCTGTTTTACACCATTGGATTATCTACTTTACAGCATTTAATTTTAAATGAAATGGTGTAAAATAGGTGATCTATCAGCCTGTAAATTTGTTGAGGAAAGAGAAATTAGGGAATTTGCAATTCGTTCATAATTCCTGTCTGGTGGGTGAGAGCCGCAGTGACTATAGATTATATTGTAAACCGTGGATGCATATGGTCATCAAACATACATATATTTTTTTCCATGCTCTCTCAGATTTTCATGACTTTGTCAGGCAGGCTATCCTGTTTATGGTTTCTGAACCTTTTTAACTCAGCTCAAAAGTGTGGGCGTCCGGGCTGAACTTGAATGTTGAAGAGGGGTAACCATGGACACCAAACATTACCATGGAAACACAGGGACTGAGACAGAAGTTATGCAACACCAGCTGAAAGCCCACATCATGCAGCTATGGCATCTCATATGTGATTTTAAGACATTTTAACAAGCCTGGGAAGTGTGACAATTTGGCACATTTCCTTACAGACAGTATAAAACTGGAAATAATTCCTACAGGAAGTAACAACAGCTGATATTCAACACGTCAGCACCAACCCCTATGACAGTTCTGAAGATGGCTTGCAGCTAGCAGCCCAAATATGTCAACAAGGTAAATACACCTTACTGCATTGTTTTTAAAAAGAACCTAAGAAGTTACAGGTACATAAGAAGACAAAATGAACATCTTTGGCTTTGTATAATAAAAGACAAAATGCAGCATTGTCTTTAATGGACACTTGAATAGAATAGGCTACTACTAATGTAACAAGTGCAAAAAATATCATGACATATTATGAGGGAATATAAAGGTGATATCTGCTCTCCACAACATACAAAATTTTATAAGGCCAAATAGAAAACTTTTTTTCCCTGTAAAACAGTCGAAAAATCTTTTCCAACATTAACAGAAAAGGATGTGGTGCCAAAAATATGTTACCCGAGAAATGTCCACCTCTGATTCTTGTTTCAGTGTTGAGGGAGTAATAAAATCAGATCCAACTGGGCATTACCAGTTGTGTTCCTGCAATTGGTATATGGATTTTTGGCGTGGAGGCTATTCATAATAATTCTGATTGACTGATTGGACACTATATGTTTCTCCTGACAATGAGACTACTGACTCGAAAATAGCATTATCCACTTTATCAAGGCCCGTGTAGACAAAGTTGAATTAGCGTAACACCAGACATGGCCTAACCGGCTCTTGCAAGTCATACCAATAATAGGCTACCCCGCTCTGAAACAGCAGCTCCCACAACTGAACAAATTAGTCCTGTTGGCTAAGGCATGAATTTCGCTACCCTATAAACAACCCAATATTTCTAGCTATGAGGGTAATCTTAGAACGCAGGTAAAACTCTCACATTAGCAGGATGCAAGAGCTCAAAAGAAGAACACAGTATTACAGCTGCACTGCAGTGGGGCAGTGGGCGTAGGACAAGGAGGAGGAAAACAAACTGAACTGGTGGTATCTGCTGAGATAATGTTTCATTGTTTGTTACGCCTAGAGAAAATAAACTAATACAATCATCATCCATCAGTAGGCTGGTTAAATGGGCCTACACTGGAGAGATGGGCACAGTCTTGTCAGCCAATAGGTTTGAGCATCAGTCATGTTTTTGGTGACTAGTCTACTGAGCAGAAAGTTATTTCTTTGAGAATCATCTGGACATTTAACTACACTGGTTTGTAATGATTATTATCCTATTATGAAGTAAGCCTATCCCAGCTCGATTTTCGCAGCTAGCTGGCGGGACATCCAATACACACCCAGACCAGTCAAATGCGCCTCGTAACCCCAGGGGTGGGTGAAACTATCGCAAACACCCCGGGCACTGCAAACAACAAAATCAACAAACCCCTGACCTGCCCTGTGCTGCTGGGGCAAACACAGCGGAGACGTATGTTAGCTAACCAGAACATGTTGAAGTAAACTCAATGGTCAACATAAGGACGGCTTCTAAATGGAAACTAAAAGTGCAAAGTCGGAATACAATAAAATACGATCGTCTCTCTACGCACAGCCACATAAAACCGAAGTGATCTAACCTCAAGTAAGGGGAACCAAAAGACTGGTACAAACATAAAAACACGCGAGCCATATTGCGACCAACCAAGCCCTCTGCAAAAACATATGTAACACAAACCTTGGCTTTACTTACCTTCTTATCAATAAATGAAATATAAACAGTGCACAGCGCAGAAGTCACAAATTCTTTACTATTTTGATCTCCGACCCTAGATAAATTTTATGTGGAGCTTATCTTTGCAGTTGTCTTTTCTCCGTCGCTCCGCCCATCCGCCATCAGGGTGCGGTGGAGAAATAATCTGTATTGTACCATTGGTCCGACGGGGACATGTGATCAAAGGGGCGCTATCTATTGGCCTGTGAATTTGGGCATTTGAGCTCTTGAATTTTACAAATAAAATATTAAATATCATGGTGGTCATGGCCTTACCTAACAGTCCACCTTGTTATACAATTATAATTCATACAGACTATGTGATTGCCTGTGTTGCTTTTGGGGATTAGTGTCATTGCACTGTAAAGAACACTGGGGGGCGCCACAATATACCATTTTATAACAGAAGTGTATTTGTCTCTAGATGACGCTACTCCACAGTTTTTATGTACCTATAGTTTAAAATCGATCTGGAGAAAAGTCACAATCCATGGTAGCAAGACTATTTGCTGTGTTACTCTCAGAATGCAAGTTTGTTTATGGTTTATAGATATTTTTAATTACTGAGCCTATCCACATTAAACAAAAAGTAGCACAAGTGAACATATTTTTATGGAAAGTTTGTCCCATCTGTCCCTAACAAATAGGCCGATGGTAAAATTCAACATTTATAAATTAAAATAGTTAGGTTACCAAGCTACAACAGTTACTCATTGTCCTCACTTTTTTTTTTTTTTTTTTTTTGTTCTTCTTGTTTCTGTTGTTATGATTGCACAAATGTTAATATGGATAATACTATGTTCCATTGTTAAAGAACATAAAAATACCTACGAGCCCAAAATAAATACAGTAATAGAATGAGAGACTGATTCACTGTAACTATGTAGGATATAGACTTAGAGTTAGACTTAGACAAACTTTATTGATCCACAAGAGAAATTATTTGGGCACAGTAGCTCACTCATCACAATATAATATAATAGCAAAATTCTAAATAAGTAGCAAAAAAACATAGCAAGAGACAGGTGTCATAACCTAATTTAAACTAAGGTGGGCTTGACTTAAATGTCTGTATGATGGGAAACAATAAGCCACCAGGTGTTAAAATATTTTTCACTCCTACAGCTACAACAGTTAATATAATATGAAAAGGGGTAGGCTATTTCCTCATTGCATATTGGTCATGAACCCTGAGTCACAGCAGGCGTTAATCCTGTCCCTAACATTCAACTCACAAACTATCTCCTCTGACTGATCTAAGAAGAGTGCTGGCCCTGGACTGTTGTGAATAATTGTGACCTGCCTTCTTGCATGGTTACACCAGCTTGCCACTCTAAATATATCCAATGTGTCAGAAAAAAGTTAGGTATAGACCATTGACTGTGCATGGGCCAATGAAGATAATGAAATGCATAGTAGTAATGACAGTAGGTGTGTTTAAGATGTGACTCTGTTACATTTTGAATTTCACAAATAGGCCTAATATGAGACCTATTTAGACATCTATGTTCCATTCCTCTGTCACCCTTAGTAATCATCTCACAGAGGGAAGATAAACCCAGCTGCTTTTAGTATTTCAGGCACTTAGGCCTACTGTCCCCTTTAAAGACTCGCCAGACATGTCAGGGCCAGGCTCTCAAATAACTAGGATATGAAAATAAACAAGAGTATCGCTGTTAACTCCTCAGTGTTTATGCTTTTTATGTTAAGATTATCAAATTTGCCAAGTTTCAAATATTGTCTTTGAGAGTGCCATGACAGGTGTCATTACGTGATAGTTAGTGCATGTGGTGGATAGGGACTCAAAGAACTTCCGTCTTTTCGCTCCACTCTATTTGCATTCTTGTAGCCTATTTCTGAGTCACTTTTCTTCTAGCAAAACGTTGTATCACCTTTGACCTGCAACTGTGGCCTCCAGAGCATAATGGGGAAACTAAAATTTCAGGGTGCAAAATATCATATTGTCAATTTTTGTAGGCCTTTTGTATAAATATATTTTGTAACAATGTAGGCAAGTTTAATTAGGTTAGCTTACATCTCAAGTGTGTGCTGTTTGGTTTCTTTTCAGGGGAAAGGCGTCAGATAGACACATCTCTGGGAGCACTGCACCCGCAGCCTGCACGAACACCCTCCCCCGCCTGATGGTATCAAGGTTTGAATGCAGCAGCCTCTAGACCAGCCGCCATGCTGCGTGGAGAAAGCAACTAGCCAATCCCACGCTTCTTCTTCCTACTACAGTAACCTTCTGCTCTGTGGGACAACAAGGAAAAGCCACGGACGGTGAGTACACGACGGTGTAGTCAAAGACGAGACTAATTTTATAGGCTAAACTTTGACGCTTCGTTTATTTTGCTTTACGCTCTGCTGACGGCTCACATGCGTGCGTGCCTTAGCGGAGTGCTCAGTTGCACTTGTTGCACTATAAAGTTTCGCTCAGTAGCGAAAGTAGGATATATCTTTGTGGAACAGGCTGAATGAGTTCTTGCGATCTTTAAATTGTACTTTTGACATTGGTTCAGCGTTAAATTTTATGAAAAATGGCAGAATTAAATAGGTTGGCGTTAAATGGCCAAAGACCTCTTTTTTTTTTCTTTTGAAAAAATAAATAAATTAATTAATTGATAAAAAAAAAACTAAACTTAAATTTAGGACAACACTTGGAAACAGGAGTCATAAAGAGGTTTAGATTTGGTGTGCATTAATCAAGTGGTCGGTCTTTCACAGCAATAACATTGGTCAACATTGAGGCCCAGTTTTAATATGGTGTCACATGAGGGTCAAACTTCGTTTATAACACGATGCAGCCTCGCATCTCAGTATACATGGGCTCTAATTTATTTTCATTGGCTTTGGAAAGCCTGTTTTGTTTTATACTTTGAAAATGATTTTGATTATAGGTGCGTATGATCTCTTCACCTAAATGCACCCGGTGTCTTTTAGTTATTTGAACTTTATTGATTATTGTGCCTCATCAAATTGACATCTGTTTGTCATATTGGACGTGAGGTGCCACCCAGATCCGATCAATCTGATTGGCCGGTTACTGAAGTCCAAATCATGTCAGCAAGTGCCTGAGGGACGCTGCGGGAACTGGCTCCAACAGGATATCCCTGTATGATCATTCACCAGCTGCAGACAAATCATTAAACCTCTGGCTGTGTGCCACTTTAAAGTTACAGACATTTGTAGCTCCTGAATTTCCCTTTAGAGCTGTAAAGGATTATGTAGAGTTGTCAATTTTGCTGGCTGGTAAATAGGACAAGGTTAAAAAAAAAACAAAAAAAAAACTGGAAACACGAGATATATCTAACTTGATTACGCAAAGCACGCCTACTTCTTAAAGTTCTTTAATTCTTTATTCATGCTTCTTTATCAATGGTAATGAGTTTAGATAAGGTTTGGGTGGAAATAAGAAATCTGTTGTGAATGCATACTGAATAGAAGCTTTGTTTTAACCTTGAATTTTGTGCTGAAGTGACATTTAGTTTAGATAGGGATCCTATCCTGTCAGACTCTCATTATATGATGTAAAATAAAAATAAGAATAGAGTAATGAATCCAGTGAAGAAATTAAACTCTTTCCCTGTATACGCTGTATGGCTCCTCCTTGTCACAGTGAATGTGTTACTTCTACATTGAGATGGGATCAGTTTAACACCTCAGTGGAGACATTTGAAGGAGACTGCACATTTCTAGCCATGCTTCTGAAGTGCTGCTTATTTTGTACTTGCAGTAATGGACTGGCCTTATGAGGTGTTTTTGGACTAGGGGCACTGTTAACACTTCAGTGCCCTTTGCATTAGCACATAATGTTCTGCTGTGAAGTTAGCTATTAAATGAAAAGCAGTTTTGTCACCGGTGTTACTATTTGAAGTATAATGTTTTGTGTTGCAGATACATGCAATTATAATTTCTTTATACAAAAAAATAAAGACCATAATCTATTATGTGACAGTGATGTATGCAGTGGGGGTAGTTGTTTAGGTCTTGTGGGAGTTGGAGGTTAGAGGTGAGCTCTGCAGTTCTGTGAGGTGTGCTGTTTTAATCTCAACTTTGGGGAAACCCCCATCTCCCCATTGAACCAAACACCACACCCAGCACCCAATGGGCCTTGGGCACTTTTTCTAATTTGGGCAAAAGTAATGGCTTCACCTCTTCTGTGGACATTCACATGTTACCGTTGCTCATTGTGTCTTATAGGCCATGCATAATGCATCACTGCATTCCATAGATGTCTCTGCCTAATAGTGCCATGATTCAAAAGTATTCACACCGGATTCCAGATCAACTGATTTTGAAGTAGTCACGACAAGCTTCCTCTTTTTTGTCGTATTAAATCACAGTAACACTAGAAGGTGGAGTCACACTTACATTTGGTGTTATTATTACTACAGTTCTGTTATTTTGAATAAGCAACCGGTAGTCTATTAATCACAACTGCAACAATGGATGTGAATTTGTTATTGAAGTTAAATTCCTGGCTGCAATGCCGGCTGTAAGGAGGTTCAGTGATGCGTGCTAGACCACTGTGGCGTGCTGAAAAGGGTATGAGAGGCAAGAAGTGTGTCACTGTAGCATGCTTTCATCATATTCTATACTATAGACTATGTAAACACTTTTCTGTAATTTTATGTTTTCTCAGACCTTTGGAGAGTCCGCAATTCACCCATATTTCTGGTTTTTACCCTGGATTAAATGCAGTGCTGCTGACACCAAGCAGCAGCTGGATAGGCAGTGCTCATTCATGACTTGAACTGAAAGAAAAAAATAATGTCACCTTAACAAAAGACACACTCCGACGAATGCACACATCCCTAACCTCAGCCCCTTCCCCCATGTCCAGTACCCCAAACCCCCCTCCCCCTCCTCAGCAATTGTATGTTGATGCTGCTTCACAGGCGCAATCTACGCAGTGACGCTCTCCGCTGGCAGCCAGCGCCTGACCGCTGTGACTGCAGGGACATCTCTACACTCGATACCACTGACATGTCTGAGTACGGCGCTGCTTTTTATACATGTGTTTTGTTTGGAATAGAGCATGGAGAGGGGAGCAGATAAAAGCAGGAGAGGCTTGACTGCCGAGCGATAGGTGACAGACCAGTCTGCATGGGTGTTGTTTTTTGCCTGTCATGCAAACCACTGGTCACTTACTGACACCAGTAGGACTGTAACCAGGCGGGAAGAGCCTCACCCACAGCCGTGTTTCTGCATCAACCTGCAGGATTTTCAAATTGACATTATGGTAAGATCTGCATCATGAACATGGTGTAGTGTAGTTGCTGACATGCATTGACAACAATGGAGGCTTAGAGAAATTGATTTGTCTGTGTTTTCAGTGAGAAGTAGATCATTCAGGGTCCCATTGAGGAGTAGTCCTCATGAATCTTTTTGATAAGTTGATAATGATAATATGTTGTGTTGTCTCCAATTTGCACTTTGTTCAGTCCAGGTCTTTGTTGTAATTTTATTGATATTGTCTACTATGTGGTTGTGTGTGCATTGGCAGCATCCCCCTTATGTGGCATTTTGGACTGTCCATATGTTTATTGTTGGGGCACTTGGCTAGATCAAAGCTAGGCTAGCTAGGCTTCAGTGCAAGGCAAGACAAGTTTATTTGTGATGGCATTTAGCTTTAAAAAGCATATTTCAAGCAGTGACCAAATCCCCTGCATCGGCAACAGACATTTAAGAATTTGAAAATGTAAAAAAAAATACTGTACTTAATAGAACTTAAATTAATAGCTTCTAAACAGAATAATAAGATCCTAATTTTCCCTCATTTTAAGGTTATATAAAATGTGATATGATAAAAAAAAATGTGTCTAAAAACCCTGCACTAAAGCATCCAAAACTTGGCATGACCAGCATATTTAACATCTTGAAATCTTTATTACAACTTACACACATTATTATATGTGATACATGCACAAGGTAATTCAGGTGTATTGGAAGATTTATGTGTAGAATTTAGAAGTTTGTCCTGTCTAGTTGAGAGAGAGTCGTCTGTATAAAATGGTCAACACAGATTAGATTAGGGTCTAATGTTTATTCTCATGCATGCTGCCTGGTTACCACATGCGATAGCCACTCACAACACATCTTTTGTATTTGGAGTATTGGAACATGCTAGTTCATCATATTTGGATGGTCAGTTGCAGTTGAGGTTGAAGAAAGCTGTACAGGGGGATTTTACTTTCTAAATTGTGCTGTGTATCTGTGATCTGTTGTCAGTGATGATGTTATCCAAGTGCCATTCTTTTGCTCCACTCAACAATGCATTCCTCATTCCTCTTGTGTGACTGCTCTTGCGCTGTCTCCTTCTTGCCCAAAAGATTTCTTCTCTTTATGCAGACTAGCTGAAGGGTTGCCTGCTTTGGTAACCATGGTTACTCGCTATAATATGAGTTATTTTAGAAAGCAGATTGATGAAAGATGCGTATTGACTTTGATGGTGCAGGAACTTACAAAGTTTTTAATTGTCATTATAAACTTAGGTTCTTTTTTTTTTTTTTTTTTTTTTAAGGCAACACAGTAGGCGATGTATTTACCTTGCTGACATGTTTTTCCTGCTAGCTGCAAGCCATATTCAGAACTGTCACTGAAGATGTATAAGCTGTTATGATTTTGTTGATTATTTAGTCCATTACAATATGCCCCTATTTTCTTCTTTTATAAAGAATAAATATGATAATCTTAGTACTTATTCATGAAACTGTCAGCTTTTTATTTATTTTTTTATTTCATTAATAAATTATAAAGACTTTAACAGTGTCCTAACATTAAACATACAAGAAATGAATGAAAAGGATCAGAAAGAAGAAGAAGAATCTTATGTTATCTCTCTCTATGTTTCTTTCAGGTTGCCGTTGTGACATTCTTCTGTGGCCAGACCTTTGAGATTTTTCAGCTGTGCGAAGAAAAGTGAAAAGAAGTTTTAATGAATCAGTATTCGCTAGCCGAAGCCATGTCGGACAAGTAAGTGATGGCACAACTTTAACTTTAACACTGTATTTACCTGGTTCAGTCAGACCTAGGGTCTGCTTGTGTCTGTTTACCCAACTCCTCTGTGTCTTAGATTGTGTAAGTGCTGAGCTGTAAACAAGCGAAAAAGAAGCTGTGGTTTTGATGTACAGTGTTGCAGCATGTTGTGGTCATGGGGGCGGCATAAAGACGCTCTGTTTTCCCCGTGCAGACTAGTGACATTTGCATCACTCAGTTTGCATTTCATTCACTGTGCTGGTATGTCACTGGCTGTTGCTAGTTACAAAAAACACACTTGAAGGAGCTGACACTATAGTCCCTCCTGGTGCACTTTTCATCCTGGTCCCTTCCCCCTTTTTAACTGGCTCTACCTCTTTTGTCTCCTTTGTCAACTTTGGGTTTTGTCTTCTTCTAACCATGTTTTTCAGAAAAGGAGACTGGAGAATATTGGTGCAGTAAGCAAAATAATCTGCTGTCCATGCTCATATTAAGCGGAATAAGTGGTTGCCGGGTGGTCAGGTGAAAGGGATATGAATAAACACAGCAAAGACCAAGTAAGCTCCAGCCATTGTGTTAAGAAAATTAAAGGGGCTGGTCAAAAAGACTGTGGCCAAGTATTTTAATTTATGTAAAGCGAGCTAAAAATGGTTTTGGTCTTGTATATAGTTTAAGCTTAATACTTATACACCTGCACAAAGTGAAAAAACCTACTACCTATTATAATACAATTAAAGGCAAAAAGAGATTCACATGTAAATTTAGTTAGATTTTTTTATGCCTAGTCGACCAAAATATCAAACCAGGAAAAAGTTAATTTCTTGTCTTGATTAAAGCAGTCAAGTTCAAGTAAATGCCACAAGTCTCCAAGCATGTGATGTCAAACAGTTCTGTGTGTGAAGGGTATCTCAGCAACAAGGGAAGCTGAAAGGCAGAGGGCGGTCATGTATTGTGTGCTCGATGCTAGTTCATGTAGAGGAATGATTGTCTGTCGAGGAAGAATGATAAATGTTATGCCCGAAGGAAATGAGGGGAAAAGTTGAGGACTTGCCCCCGACAGTGGAAGCAAACAAAGCCCCCCCCCCCACACGAGACTACTTAAGATTCATACAAAGAGAAAAGAACGCCACTGCCTAGTTTTTTCTCACAAACACCCCTTATATTCATGAACAAACATTGTAGACATTCCATTAATGTCAGCATTCCAGTTACTTTTCCCAGATGAAGGCACAGGAGTGCACATTTTAGTACAACAAGAGTATTATCATAATTTGATTTTTGTCATGAATGAATGCTAGTTCCATTGTACCAGGATGATATGGAGTGGGAAAGTCTCTTAAGCCAGATTTGCTGCAGAGTACTTGTAGACAGGGATTTTTTCTGTGCAAATTCAAGCTTGCATAATCCTCTTCAGTGCAGCGCTTTTGTCAGTGCATATGAAATAGTACAGAGTCCATGCCCCCCTCTTTTGAATGGATTTGGGTAACTCAAATTTCACCCAGTTTTTGTCCTGGATATTTTGGACAGTGTTGCATCATTCCTACAAATAGGTCAAGTTCTATGTACAGTTGCTGAAATTGTAGACCCATTTTAATGTAAATGAGATGCTGTTGAAAAAACAATTAAATTTCCTTTGTTTTTAGACTGCATTTAATTTAGACATTTAACCCATTAATTGGTTTATAGACAAGAAAAACTTCACTGTTCTTAATTATGTGATAGCTCAACACTGCATGCATGCTTGTCATGCACAGCACATGGGCCTGATGCATGCACAAACATAACCTGAAAATTTACATAATCTTTTAAAAGAAGGACACTTCCTCTTGATCATTTTACACTTTGTAGGAATTAATCAAACACTTCCTTTTTCTTAGACATGAGTTTTGAAAAAAAAAAATAGTCAGAGAAACAACATCACAAAAGATGCCATGATAATTACTTATAGTTCAATATACAGTATGGAAGCTGGAACAATATATTTTTGGACTCTGTTTATTGTGTGTACAATTTCTTTGCAACAACTGGGAGATATTTTGCTATTTTTATGTAATAAAATAAGATTTGAGCTGTAAAGAGTAGAATAAATGACTACTATGGGTAATTATTACTTCATTCTGCTATGTATTTTTTGCAGCCCATGCCTTAATAAATGATACAGTGGATTTAAAATTTAGTTTACTGGGATTATCCTTCTTCGTGTCAATGACGTACAGTAGTTTCAATATTACTGTTTATCACAATATTTTTCTGTAGCAGTATATTGTGCTATACATGTGCTATCGTGTAAGGCCCAGATGTGATTGAAAATAGGATATGGAGGTGAACTTAATAGTGAATCACCTGTTAAGACATATCTACACTTAAAGATATTTGAAAACATTGTCTTTGGTCAGTTCTCATTCAAATCCAGTCATCAGTTACAACACTGGGACTCCATGACATCTGCACTTCCTCTTCCTCCCTTCTCAAGACCACTATGTCTCAAAGTGGGGCTTTAGTGTGACCCACCCAACCACTTGGGACATGCAAAATTAAGACTTGTAAAAGTCTGCTGTCATTGGGGCCTGTGAGCGTTATACACACCCTGCATCAGCTGTCAATGAGTTTTGTGGGGACAGAGGGACCCAAGGTCAGAACACTTCCTAAAGATGTCGAGGGTGATCTAACCTTTGGCCTTCAACACATCTGTCTTCCGGAACTGTCATCTTCTACCAACATCACATTGATGCTGTCAGTTGAGACAACAAAGGGGACTTGCTGTTGTGCAACCATTAACTGCAGAAGTGGTGCTCTTACAACTTGCATTTCCTCTTGTGTGCCACACGCAAGGGCATATGATAATGCCACACAACGTTTATGATAGACAATTATAAACTGTGGTTCACAAAAAGCTGAACAAACCTTATTTTTCAGTGACATGACTGCTAGATGGTATGCTCATGACACACCATTTATTTCAGAATAGGCATTTAATACTATAGCTAATGGCTATAACTAATAGAAGGTCAAAATAGATTGTTGTGGATACAGGTTGTTGTTGTTGCACAAAGTGAATGTATGTTAAAGGGGTTTGTTCAGGAAACGGTCTAAAAGATCAGGCTCTATGGGGTGACCATCTGTCACAATTTTACTCTGCTTGATATTTAGACCACCTGTTCTGTGTTGGTATCTTATGTTGCATAGTTAGGACTAGTAGCCAAATTATCAAATATATTGACCACATGTTTATATATCAACCACATTTTCTTCCTGGTTTGAAAAGTTTAACTTACAGAATGAGCACAGTATACTTTGTAGCCCACGGCCTCACACCATATGGCAGCTAGCAACATTATTGTCGATAACAGCTTCATTGCATTTTAATGCAATGTATTTAAAGCCAACACATGGTTAACTCCATATTTATTTACATTTAACATTGCCTATAGCCTAGTTTAGTTTAGGAGATCAAGAGCTAATACAATTCTTAAAACACACATCGCATTGGCAAATATAAATAATTATAAACTTTGGTACATGTTACATTTGCAACATGTACCAAAGGAAATTATGGTACATATTCACACAGTCGTATAGAGAGTGTGTGGTGCTTTCACTGGTGACTTTCTCAGACTGTGAAAAGCAAATGCAGAAATCGAAAACCCACAACCAAGATGTACTGCTGACACTATTTGGGCCCTTTAAACATGCAATATTTTCAGTTTCACAATGATACTGTTTTGTACTGTGTTTGATTCTGGTCTTTATTTTGGTATAAGAGATGGGTTTTTTTTGTATCCACCCTTTAATGTCTTGCTTAATATAACGTGTGATCTTTGTTTTTTCCACTCCCCATAGCTTGAGGATTTTATAATTGTCATCTGAGGAAGAGCATCGCATCTTGTACTAAGCTACAGGTCAGAAACTTTCTTGCTCCACCTCCCACCTCCTCTCCCTCTCACCAGTGCTGTTCGCTGGCCTGCTACAACACGAATGCTGCATGCTTCCCTTACCCCTTTGTTATTGCCTTGGGGCCTTTGCTCTTATTTTATTCCTCAACCTTGCATGAACACACCAACTGTTCTAAATTTTTGTATGTGCTTGGTGTTGTTGCTTAGCGTAACCCCTCCAGTTTAATTCATTTCTGCAATAATTTGATTTTACCACTTTCTTTGTTCCTCAGGTATAATTTTTTAAATTTTATTTCTTGCTTTTTTGTGTTTCATTTCAAACAAAAAAGTTGCACATGGTCATTGTTGTCTGTGCTTTATCCAACATTGTTTTGATGACGGACAGTGCTTGTATTGAGCACAGCTGGCTTTCTTCAGACACCTTTTAAGTTGTACAGCCCCACCTGTTACAAAGTGAGGACAATTATTTAGGCAAGCAACAAAATATCCTGTCTTTTTACTGAAAAAAAATGTAACCCTGAAGTCTCAAGACTACAAACGTGTTCTGGAATTCATGGGATTCCTCTATTGCTGTCAAAGGCCTTATTTGCTCTTTATCTTACTTTGAAAACATCTAATCACACAATACTGGCCAGATATATTCTGTGATGGCTGTTTTCCTTTGCACAAAAACATAAATATGTATTTAAAATTGTATGTGCTTAATTTTTGTGAAAAATCTCATTGTCCCTTCCCTCTAAAGAACAGACAGGGCTTTAAACTTGGCCCGGCCTTCTTGCCCTGTTCTGGAGAACTGTGAAATTAGGTTTTCTCTTGCATAGTCGTAAATTCATGAAGAGACACTGTTCACATTCAGACAACCCTTGGATTATGGGTTGTGCTTTTGCCCACTACCCCAAAAGAAGGTTTTGTCTGTGCATTGGAAATTACCACCATGAAATCATGGGCCTGCAAGAGGCTGCGAAAGTATAGAACTCCTGACTGAAGTAGGCAGTGTGAAGCCTATAGGCCTTAAATGCACAACACTTAACTGTTTTATTGGGATCTGTTGTAAACATTGATAAATGATTTTGTTTTTGTTGTTTCACCCATCCACAGTAAGTCACAAGCCCTCCCTGTGTTGTAAAGTGTTGGAAGGGCATCTGATATGAAATCATGCAAATCCCGGCACCCTTTAAGATTGATGATTTGCAGTCGTGATCCAAGAAGAAAAGGGAAAATTAATGACTCCAACTTTTTTTTTATACTTCAGAATAGGCTATTTGTCTTACAGTGGACACCTGCCCTCAGTAATTGCTGTTTTAAAAAACCCACCAATGTAACTTCCACACCAACTTGAAACCACAAGGCCTTCTGAGCTGGACCTCAACTGGAGCTCCTGCGGCTTCCGAAAATAGTTCAAGATTATACGCCCCAGGGTCTGTTTGCTATCATTATAGTCCCAAGGAAACGGTACCAAGTGAAAGGTCTATGACTTAACCAGACCATACATCCCACATAAAAATTTTGCTGTAACTGGAGATCGAATCAAACTGCATACTGTAAAGAAATGAAATTGTACAGACCTAGGCTATTTTTGAGAATTTTACTTCTTATGATCACAGTCAAATTCAACTTCTTCTTTCCCTTTTTCTTCTGAAGATGTCAACTGCTTTTTTTTTTTTTTTCCATCTTTGGTTGGGTAAGCAAACGCCTGTTGGACTGCTTGTGAAGGGAACACCACACAGTAGCCCTTGTGCTTCCAGAGTACATCAGTGGCGTGTGTATGTTTGTTTATAGGGCCGCATTTCAGATGGATCCAGTGCCACGTGACACAAGGAAAGGGCGTGTTGTTTTTAAAGAGCTCACCAGAGGCAGGCTAAATATACCCTTTACTGGACCTGACCCCTCATTTGCCTTTTGCTGTGGCCACTTAAGGCTGACATGCTAGCTCAGCGGGGACTCAACAACTAGTAATTATATAGGAGTGTTTCAATTTTACTTCCCCTGTAGTGTTGCATTTTCCCCTTAGTTTCAGTGTTTTGGTTGTTATTGATGGTCTGGCTATATCCAATACTAAAAGTGGCTATACTGTGCTCCTGACTCTATCGTAAGAAGCAGTGAGGTAATTTTCCTTATATAGGCCATGGAAGTGTTCCCTGATAGTGCATTTTTAGTTGAATACTTGCTTCCATCCATGAGACTTGAAGTGCTGCGTGAATATTGCATAAACTGCTGCATCATCACTAAGCGGCAGCACAGCTGTGCCCTGCCTTTAGATGCCTTAGTGTCAGTACGATGCTGTAGTGAATGACATGTGGCTTTGCAGTTGCCAGATAATGTCTTAAGATTGTTTTTGAGCATTTCTGCAGCAATGCAAATTAGCCAGTGTTAGAATAAGACTTCCTTGCTAATTAGTACTAATTAGTACTAAATGACTGTTGATTAAAATCCAATTCCCTGTCATTTTACAGTTTTTCAAACAAACCTAACAAATGTAAAACAAAGGATTAAACTCAACATTCCAAGGCACTTGGATCAATAATAAAGATGCCATCCTCTAAGATCCTCTAAGGGTGTAAATCGATTTTAGAGATTTACAAGGGTGTATTTGCATTTTGCATATAAAAGAACATTGGATTGTCATTATTGGGAAACAAAAAAGTCAACATTGTTTTTTTGTTAATATTGCCTACCCTCACCAAGGGGAGAAGTGTTACAGAATGAAGATTGGATGTCTACTGCTGACCTTTTGGAGTGAATCTTATGAGCATTCTGCAGTGAGTGCCACTTCCTGAGTTTGAGTGCTTTCATCTGCTCTTGACACTGGTGGAGACATCTGTCCTCATGAGTGTGCCATCCTTGTTGCTTTTTAGCCTCAAATGAAATAACTCCAAACATATACTTCCACTCAATGCAGCTGCCTTTGCTTTCTTCACTCAGACGTTTTTATAATTTCTTGTTAAATTGCTCCAAAGTCAGTCAAACTGTTATGTATGTATGTGATAATGGTAGCAGTGCATTATCAAAACCTACTGGTTTCTATGATCATTCCACTGCAGGATATGCAGTTTACAGATGGGCTGCCTGATATTAAAATGCATAACAGAAATTTACATCAGAAAATGACACTATTGGAGTTTGGCATATTCCGTGATTTGCCACAAGATTGAAAAAAAAAATCATAAAAACATTTTTTGAAGATTGGAAATATTGCCTAAAGTGTACTAACCTCTTGGCATGGTGCAGTGGAAGAGTTCTCAGTTGATTGATGTCAGTGATTACAAAGGACATGGAAAGAGAGCTAGTGCTAGTGGGAAACGGGCTGGGGCTTTGGAGTTGTTGGCAGGAGCTGAATGTCTAAACCTCACATTACCCCACTCGACTCACCAAGACCAAGAGCATCCTCCGTTCCTCTCTCTCTCTCTCAATGACCACTGGAGGGAGTAACAAGTGTTGTATCTGTCCAAAATCTTAGGATTGACCTCACTTGAGTTTGAGAAAACAAGTTCAACCAACCTGTACCATCTTAAAACAGGAAATCTTCAGAGATGAGCCTAATAGTTTCAGTTCAGAGAAAATCCAGTTGTGGTAGTTCAGGTAGGTCCAGTATTAGTGGCTAGTTGCTAGTATACCATTGCCTTGAAAAGAGATGAGCTCAGTTACTCTTCCCCTGTGTCCTGTCGTCTATGGGCACCCAGCCAGTTTCTCTGCTCATTTCCCAGTGCAGTGGGAACCCCAAGGCCCCGAGCAGGTGTCACCATAACTGCCCAACCAAAGGAGCTTGTAAGAGCACACAATGGGCTCAAAGAATCCTGCCAGCATGGGGACCGTCTTAAATATCTGTGAACAGTATGACCACTCCTCTAAATCTCTCCACAACATAGGGGAGCTGCCAGTTCACTCTTTCTGGGACTCTAACTCTCTGTCTCTAAAGGAGATGGAAGATCCTTTAAACTCTCTCTAAGATGGGTCTTGTTGTGTTAGGATTTATATTAGGCATACGTTGAGAAGATTGAACTTGGTTTGATTGCGTCTCCTTCCTTTTTCATTATTTCTTATTAAATATACTTACTTCAGCACCAACCCAAAAAAGTTTTTTTTTCAGTGGTAGCTAAGAGCTGATGCCTGTCTCTTGTTTCGTTCTCCTCTGTTCATTGTTTGGTACTCAATGTGATGATGTGGCCTGGATGAGGGGTATAGGCAGGGGGTGGGTGCACTGGGGGCACCCCTCATCGGCCATAAACAAAGGGCCCTTGTTTATTTGACCCTCTCTTTAGAAAATTAGAGTCCACAGCCAGGGCTAAAGCTAGGCTTGAATTCCACCCTTACCAGATTTAGAAAGTTGAAGCCCTTGTGAAGGAAAAAAAAAAAAAAATCTCATGTAAAAAGGGGTCAGAGCTCTGGGGCAATTTGTTGTCCTTTTATAAACAAATCAATATCCAATCACAGCTTCTGTATTTGACACAAGCTGTGCTGAGCATCATTGATTGTCCATTGGTGAAGTGCAATATGATCAACCCATTGTTTAGACATTGGTAACACAGCAAATGAGAACTGTGTTTGTTTGTCGTTACTAAAATTAAAATATATTTAAAATTAGCTGGTATGACTGTTGTAAATCCATCCATCCATTTTCTTCTGCTTATCCGGGGCCGGGTCGCGGGGGCAACAGTCTAAGCAGGGACTCCCAGACTTCCTTCACCCCAGACTCGTCCTCCAGCTCCTCTGGGGGAACCCCGAGGCGTTCCCAGGCCAACCGAGAGACCAGCGTGTCCTGGGTCTTCCCTGGGGCCTCCGCCCGGTGGGACATGCCTGGAACACCTCCCGAGGGAGGCGCCCAGGAGGCATCCAGAACAGATGCCCGAGCCACCTCAACTGGCTCTTCTCGACTTGGAGGAGCAGCGGCTCTACTCCGAGCTCCTCCCGTGTGACTGAGCTCCTCACCCTATCTCTAAGGGAGCGCACAGCCACCCTGCAGAGGAAACTCATTTCGAGCGCTTGTATCCTCAGTCTCGTCCTTTCGGTCATTACCCAGAGCTCATGACCATAGGTGAGAGTAGGAACGAAGACTGACCGGTAAATCGAGAGCTTCGCCTTTCGACTCAGCTCCCTCTTCACCACAATGGTCCGATACAGCGACCACATTACTGCAGACGCTGCACCGATCCGCCTGTCAATCTCATGTTCCGTCCTCCCCTCACTCACCTGAGATACTTGAACTCCACCCACCTGGAAAGGGCAAGCCACCTTTTTCTGGTCGAGAACTATGGCCTTGGACTTGGAAGAGCTGATCCTCATCCCAGCTGCTTCACACTCGGCTGCAAACCACCCCAGTGCACATTGCAGGTCCTGGTTCGATGGAGCCAACAAGACAACATCATCTGCGAACAGCAGATGAGATCCTGTGGTCCCCAAACCTGACAAAAACCACACTGCTCCTCCTGGATCCAAGGTTTGACTATCTGCCGATTTCTCCTCTCCAGTACCCTGGCTGAGAAGTGTGATTCCCCTATAGTTGGAACACACCCTCCAGTAGCCCTTCTTATACAGAGGGACCACCTCCCTGGTTTGCCAGTCCAGAGGTACTGTCCCTGACCGCCACGCAATGTTGAAGAGGCGTGTCAGCCAAGACGGCACCACAACATCCAGAGACTTAAGGTGCTCAGGACGGATCTCATCCACCCCCGAAGCCTTGCCACCATGGAGCTTGCCAACCATCTCAGTAACTTCAGCCAGGGTGATGGACGAGTCCGCCTCCAAGTCCCCAGCCTCGGCTTCCTCCTCGGAAGACGTGACGGTGGAGGAGATCCTCAAAGTATTCCTTCCACTGCCGGACAACGTCCCCAGTCGAGGTCAACAGCTCTCCCCCCGCACTGTAAACAGTGTTGGTGAAGGACTGCTTCCCCCTCCTGAGGCGCCGGACGGTTTGCCAGAATCTCTTTGAGGCCGTCCGATAGTCCTCCTCCATGACCTCCCCGAACTCCTCCCAGCTCCGAGTTTTTGCCTCTGCAACTGCACGGGCTGCAGCACGCTTGGCCCACGAGCCAACAAGGCCCGATAGGACTCTTTCTTCAGCTTGATGGCATCCCTTACTTCCTCCCCTCTGCTGTGACTATGACATGGTTGGCGTCATCAAGCAAACACTTCAAATTTAAAACTTTGTGTCTCATAACCTTCATATCTAGCACCTCCATACACGTTTTACCATACAGGCCATGCACGGAGAGTCGCGTTAAACCCGGAATTCAAAGGCCTTTTTTTTTTATGGACTGATTCATCATGAAATCAATGAAACTGCATCCTTCAACTCAACTAACTTCATACCCTGATGTTGAGCTAAATCATGGTAGGAAAAGATACATTTTTTCCCCCTGCCCACCGAACCCTGGATTAAATACTTTACCCTAGATTAAATACTTTCAAACTGGATTAAATACATTACCTTGGATTAAACTGACTCTCAGCACTAACTGCATCACCATGGACTATACACAGAAACTGCAACCACTAGACTGGTTTCCGGTGTCTATTCACTCATACCTCAGGCTCCTTAAAGGACAAATCTTCTGATGCTGCTAAACTGTGAAGCCATACTATGCCCTCTAGCCCTAGATTGCGTTACAATCAGTAACTCTGTTTAGTTCAAGCGTTCTTAGGCAGCTCAGGGGTCCTTGGGAGCATAGTGCAGTTACCATGGAAATGACGTTACTTCTAGCCCAACTCCTGTAGCTTCAGTCCATTCCCTTTTAAGTCTGTGTCTATGATAGAGGTGGATTTGTAAATAAGTTTGTTTATTTGTTTCTTTATTTGTGCAAAAACAATTGTGATGTACTAATTAATTGTTGTTATGTTAATTAACTTAACAAATTTACATTGTTGATGTCAATTGTTTCACAGTTATACAGCTGATTATACGTGCCAGCTATTATTACTCTGATACCGTTATTTCAGTTGGTAAAATTATTTAAATGTTCTTATAGATTACCAGACAGAAAACTACAAGAAAGGACATTAAACCTCCATAAATATATTCAAGTGTCCTCCTTCACTCACTGATCGGTAGTGTTGTAGTACTCGAGACCAGTTTTGGTCTTGAGACCGGCCTCAAGACAAATTTTTTTTTAATGGTCTTGGTCTTATCTCAGACTCAATCGCATTTGGACTCGGTCTTGTCTCAGTCTTGAGGGCGCTTGGACTTGATCTTGTCAAAGACTCGGATGTCTAACTCCAGTTAGGAACTTAAAAAAATAGGTTTAAAAATCCTACCCAATTTCTAAACAATTTTCTGTAAAGTGCCAGTGGAAGTTATATTAATTAAAGAAGGTGTTGTCAAATTGTGGGTGAGGATCCAAAAAAGTATTTAAGTGCAGTACAGTTTGCTTGGCTTATTTTAAGCTTAAATGAACATTGATCAGATAAAATGGAGATACATTTATAAAAACACTGATATATATGTTCCAAAATAACAAAAATACAAATAAATGTAGAAAATGACAAAGATGGTCTAGATTCTGTGTCGATGGGCTGTGGTCTTGGTCTTGTCTTGGTCTCGGCCTTGAAAAGTCTTGTCTTGGTCTCGATTAGTGCAGTCTTGACAACAACACTACTGATCGAAATACTGGTTTAGATGAAGTGTCCCATCATACATCGCCTATAGTCCTAGCTATCTCGAATAATCTCAAATATCTCCAATAACTTTTATAACAACAGTATAGTTGTATAATTGTTACAGATCATTATTTTCTTTTGTTTATTTGCAGAATTTGTAGAGCTTTACTCAATACCACACTTAAGTCAAAAGGTTTTGGAAAGTGAAACGTGTGAAACTAGTCTAACCAGCTTGATGCTATATCACTTTACTTAGCATTCACTATCATCCTCCCCACTAGATCAACCTATTGGCTGTGTCAGATAACATATGATCCTTGAAAAACAAACTTGATACAATATGAGCAGTATGTGGTAGTGAACAGCGCTGTGACAAAGATAAATGTAGAGTGTGTGAATGGAATTAGCTCATGCTGATTTAGATAATCTTGGCAATCATTATCAGTGATTTAGAGATGTAGACCTTTGGATTCGATCTATATTTTATGTTACTCTTGGAAATTTCCAAATACTGTATAATATTTTAGTATAAGCCAGTAGAAATGGTAGTAGCAGAAATTATACCAATGCCTTGTGATAAGTGCCAGGAACACTGTTTATGTAAGGATTATAGTAAAAACAATGTGACTATTTCATGAACATTGCTGTGGTATAAACTGTGTTATTTACATGATGTGGCTTTGCAGCAAAACTACTTCACACAGTTCACACTGATCTGCAAATATCAGCTAAATTGGTGCAGAGCTAAACCATCAACTAGGTTTTCATATTACAAATATTCTAATATTGGTCCAGCCGATATTCCAACTGAGCATACAAATTACATAATAAGACGATTTACTGGTCATAATTGGCCCAGAAAGAATAATAATGTTTGAAATGTATTTATACAAAGTTTGCTACGTAGGTACTAGAGAGATTAATAACAGCTACATATTTTATTTTTGTTTTAAGGAAATGCTGTTTCTGCTCTGGTCCTGGTTGATATCAGTATCTGCAGATACTTACAGCTATTACTGAAATCAGAACTGAAAAGGCTAAATTGGTTCTTCACTTCTTTGTATCACTTTCAAATGTTGTGCAAAATGTCCTGATGACCGCCCTCTTGCTTTTTAATACGAGCTTGCTTCATAAGCTTAATTTCTCACTTGTGTTTCCTCGTTTGAGTACTTGTAGGAGGCTTTATCTGTCGCTCTGTTCTTTGTACAGAGGAAACTTCACAGCGCCAAAGCTGTCAGAGTCGAACATGGGCTTTGGTGTGCTGGGAATCTTTCTGGGACTGCTCCTCGAAGTGTCCACCCATGGACCACACACTGTTCCCCGATCGTCCTGGAAGCACCAAGGTAGACTTATTATTATTTTCATATATAATGACATCAACATGAATGAACATGCCATTTTTCATGTTTAGGTAAAAAAATGTTCATTAGTGATGGAAGAAGTACTGTGCTGAATTTTGTTCAGAAATAAACTAATTATTAGTTTTTTCCCTTGCTGTTTTTATTCATATTTTTGTTTGCTCAAGCTATGACCTTGATAAGAAGTAAACCTGGCAGGGTTTCCAGCAGGTCTTACAATAATAAAAATACTTTTACTTTTCAGTCCTGTTCAAAAATGTAGAAAGTTCAGATACCTGGTCTCAAATGTAGTGAAGGAAAAAGCCAAAAGTAAAGGTACAGTTATCTAAAATTGATACTTAAGAATAGTACAGTACAGTACTTACTTCATTACATTCCACCACTAAAAATGGTTGAGGCAAACCTGAAAACAATGGTAATGGTAAAGATAAAACTAAGATGCTCTATAAGTATTTCTGTATGTCTATTATGGGTATCCTACATAGAATGGTCTTGAGATTTGTTTAGCTTTGAATTAACCATACTTGTTTTATTATCAGACATAGATGTTACAGACTTCTCTGAGCCTGGTATCTTCAACTATACCACACTGTTGTTGAGTGAAGACCGAGATGCTCTGTATGTGGGAGCCAGGGAGGCAATCTTTGAACTTAACAAAAACAACATAACCAAAAGACGCAATAAGGTATCGTGTATAGGTGTAGACTTTTTCTTTTCCTATTTTTTTGTTTTAAATATTTCTGACCTCTTTAAGGTTGAGTGGACCGTTGACGAAGAACCTACGGAGAAATGTGTCATGAAAGGAAAATCTAAAAAGGTCATTCTTTGGAAAATACAGTGTTAAAATATGCAGCAGCGGCTTACAAATCACTAAAATGTTTTAATTCTTCAGAGAGACTGTCGAAATTACATACGGGTGCTTCAGGTTGTTGATGAGGATCGGCTTTATGTCTGTGGTACATATGCATTCGCACCCCTGTGTGATTACTTGGTAAGTTAAAATTTTTACCATTTCAATTAAGAAAAAGACTTCATCTGAACTGATGCGCATGTTTCAGAGTTTAGCTGACTTTTCTCTAACCAATCGCCCAGAAGATGGCAGAGGAAAATGCTCTTTTGATCCTTATCAAAGCTTTACCACGGTCATGGTTGGTGAGTAGATGTTAAGTTTTAAATACATTTGAGTTTTCTTTTAAAAATACTGCATTTGTTAATTGTAGTATTATCATTATTATTATTATCATTTTTTTTTAAATAAAATATAGATGGTGACCTTTACACTGGTACAGTTTACAATTTCTTGGGTAGTGAGCCGATCATTTCCAGATACTCCCCTCCCCAGTCTCTCCTGAGGACAGAGTACTCCACATCTTGGCTTAATGGTAAATTGAGTTAAGAAGAACTTAATATATCATGTTGACATTTTGTTCAGTCTCAAGTATATGGAGATGGTTGATGTTGATACTTGCTTTGTTGCAGAGCCTAGTTTTGTGTTTGCTGATGTGATCAGGGAGGGGATAAATAAGGCTGATGGTGAGGATGACAAAATCTACTATTTCTTTACTGAGGTATCAGTGGAGTATGAATTCTTTGGCCAGCTGCTCATCCCTCGAATTGCACGTGTTTGTAAGGTAATTGCACCTATTAATTCTATATTGCCTATTCTTTTTTTATTGTATCATCATGAACTGAAGAAAGGTGTGTCATGAACTCTAGGGTGATTTGGGAGGACAGCGCACTCTCCAGAAAAAGTGGACATCTTTTCTGAAAGCCAAATTGGTGTGCTCCATGCCCGAGCTTAACTTTGTCTTCAATGTGGTTCATGATGTCTTTATTTTGAAGGGGGCAGACTGGAGGGACACAGTCATCTATGGGGTTTTCACCTCACAATGGTTAGACTGAAATCTCCATAACTTCTATTTATCCTTGACCCATGTAAATAATCCATAAATCTGATGTTGTTCTATCTTGTCCCCTCAATGTCTAGGGGCAATGTTGGTTTGTCAGCCGTTTGTGCCTACGCTCTGACTGATGTAGAACATATTTTCTCTGAAGGCAAATACATGCAGAAAGCAACAGTGGAACAATCACACACAAGATGGGTTCGTTACAATGGTGTGCCACCTACGCCTCGGCCTGGTGCAGTAAGTTTATTTTAGATTCATGTAATATTTACTGCCATGATGCTATTGGTAAAACTTATATGAACCTTCCCCCCTTCTTGTTCCAGTGTATTAACAATAAAATGCGTCAAGAACGCATCAGCAGCTCTCTGCATCTGCCTGACAAAACTTTACAGTTTGTGAAAGACCACCCTCTGCTGGAAGACCCTGTTCTGCCAATTGGCAGTGGACCTCGACTCATCACAAAGGATGTGAACTACACTCAAATTGTTGTGGACCGCGTTCTTGCACTTGATGGAAATATTTATGATGTCATCTTTACTGGAACAGGTAACACTGCTCAAGCTTTTTAGTTTTAGGATAAATTGTCTTTACTAACATTATAAGACTTAGATTTTAGATTTTAGATTTATGATTTTGTCTTTTTAGACAAAGGGAATCCTGCACAAGTCTGTTGTGTATGAAGGGAATGTTCATACAATAGAAGAAATCCAGCTACTGAAAAACGCTGAGCCCATTAAAAACCTATTGCTGTCCACAAAGGTCAGAGACATAACACAAGTACTTTTTAAATTTGCATAAACATACCATAAGAACTTTTTATTTTCCTTCGCAGACACAGACTATATATGCAGGCTCAGACTCTAGTGTTGTCCAGTGCCCCACATACTTATGTGGTAAATATTTATCTTGCATTGACTGCATTTTGGCACGAGATCCCTACTGCGCTTGGGATCCACACACAGAAAGGTGCATCAATAGTGTGGGGAATCACAACAGGTAAGTCACAAATTTTTTAGAATTGCAAGCACACGATCATGAAAACTTCATAATTTATCATTATATTTATGTGCCTGTATGTTTTATTTAGTTTGTTAATCCAGAATCTCAATGGTGATGCAGACCAATGCCCTGCAGGTATGTTCAGTCCCAGAAAAATTAAAAGCAGGTCAGATGAAACAATCTTAACCTCTTTTGTTTTGTAGTGGCAAGCCCCTCCCTGAAGACGTACCAGACAGTCAGAGTAAAATTGGGCAGCTCTGCAGAGCTGCCGTGTGAAGGGTCGTCCAGCTTGGCCCATGTTATGTGGAAGGCCAATGGCTCTCAGCTCACAGATGCATCTCGCTTTCACCTGATCGGTGACAGTGGACTTCTTATTTACAGTGTGGCTCCTGAGGACCAGGGCCACTATGAGTGCTGGTCAGTGGAATGGGCTCCTGCTGTAGGGAAGAACTTTAGCCTCCAGCTGGCTGGATACATCCTCACTCTGGACCTCCCTGTAACTGAGCCTCATCAGGCAGGTCACATGACCACTACCCTCAGCAGCAAGGATGCATCTAGTACACAGACTGTGGCAGGTAATAGTAAGACAGAAAGAGTATCACTAACTTCAGCGCTTGTTCCCTCCCGTTTTACAACATTTTTTACATCTTCACCGCAAACTGACTCATCACTAACCTCACCACCCAGCCACAAACTTCAACCCATTCAGCCATTCTCACCTAGTTCTTATCCATCCCGCACTGGGAACCAGGAAACAACAGCAGCATCTTATTTGCCACAAGACAACAGCACGGCCCTGCTTCTTCTTTTCCTTTTGTTTTTCTTTCTCTTTTTGGCAGCAATGGTGTACAACTGTTACATGCAGTACCTTCCTACCCCTTGTTTGCGCTTGCGAACTGCACTTATTGGTAACAACAAAAGCGCTAGTCAGCCTGAATATCGGGCATGTGAGGCAGGGCTAATGGAGATGTCAACAACGGACAAAATTAACTCTGCTGAGCAGCCTAAGCAAAATGGTAGTCAATCCACCGCCAATATGCGGGCACTGCGAGACACAGGATATGAAACTGAACCTGAGTGCGGCAATGGGAAGGTTCACAGTTTTGACGACAGCCCTTCCATGGAGAAGCCCTTTGACATAGATTGTGACTCTCAGCCAATTGAATATGCAGATGCTGATGTGGATCCTTAATCCTAATTATTTTTAAATTGAACAAAAAGACTATTGAGTTCATGCATATGCAGTCTCTCTCTGCTAGTCAAAAAGCCAAAATGAAAGTAAGGTATTGTCTGTAGTTTTTCTAAAATTCTGCAAGTGTAGACTCTGCACATGCTTAGTCCAGCAGGAAAAGCTATTTCATTCCAAATTGGAAACACAATTTACCAAATTGGTAAGTTAGCTAGATGTTTTCCAAATTGGAGTTTGTTACTTTGTACAGCTTTTGTGAACTAATGTCAGTGTTAATGTTTTTTAAAGCAATGTATGTTACCAAACAGTTATTGCTTTGTTGGTTTTTTTTTCTCAGGGAAGATTTTCTCAACAGCGCAATGAAGGGTTTATCGAATAAGCAGAAATATCGACTGTTGCCACCTAAATAGTTGTATCCATTTAATCTATTGTACCGCTGTCATAAGTCTTCTTTTTTTTTTTTTCCTTTTTATCCAGTGAAATCAAAAATAACAAAATGAAACCTTTTTAACCACTGCTGTATCATTTTTGTTGTTGTTTATTAACCATCTGTGCCACTGTATACACACTGTTGTTTTACCTAAAAATGTATAACATGCCCTGGAAACAATCTGAATGCCTTTTGTTTTTACAGTTATTTTAATGAAGACAGACATGGTTATTTAAGATGTGATAATTTAATTTGTAGGCTAGTTGTTTAGATTTTATTTATTTAAGTTGTTCCTATGATGTACAATTCAAAATTTCACATCCCTGAGTCTGCTCATTCATTATGCATGTGCCACTAGATTTCCATTTTCCTCAATCCTGTCTCTCTGTCCATCACTCCTCCTTCACAGCCTCTGCTCCTGTTGACACCTCGTCCACTCTCTCCACCTCTGAGCGGAGCACTCTTTCCTCCCTTCCCTCATCCTTCCCTTTCTCTGCCAAATCCCACACGTTCCAGGCCAAAGAGGCAGAGGTGAGACTGTTACCCCCTCTGCTGAAGGACCAGGCCTGGGGGGTACATGCCCAGGAGGCCTTCATGCTCTTCTGCCTTGCTTTGGGTGAGTGGTGCCTCTGACAGTGACCCCACTTCTCCTCACAATCAGATGCTTGATGTGAAACAGTCATTTCTGCACCATTAGTCACATTTCTCTTTTTTAGTTCTTTGCACTTTGCATGTACCAGCTCAACACTTGAACTAACAACTTGCTTGTTCCCTTTTTTGGTCTTGTCATAGTTGTCAAACATTTGGTTGAAATATGATGTAAACTTCTATTCGAGCACAAATGAGACCCTTCTAGATCTTCATGTTGACTGGACTTCCCCTTCTTGGTTTGTTTATGACGAACAAAATGACTACCCACATTTGATTCTATGTCAAAATGTAAACTTGTGTGTGTATATATAGAAAATACTTTTGAACATGTACAGAGATTTAGGGTTTATATCTGGTGTCTCTTAAATGGGGAGACTGAATAAATTCTGTGAAATGTTTTTAAATTGTGTTTGTTTTCGATTTTGTCTTGTTGCTAATAGCATGTGGTATTAAAAGAAAGAGATGTGTATGTTTTCAGAGCACAATTATTTATGCAAGGTTGTTTTGTATTGATGTAGAATGGCTAATGGAGCTAGGTATAAGGCATTGTAATGCATGAAGATTAAACCACGCTTTGCAAATGTAAAAGGTTGCAGCAAGTTTCAGCCAAAGGCAAGTGCTTAATTTAAACTGATTACATTTGTATTGTGTATACACACCGTAGTGTTGAAGGGAGTCAACTGGTCCCAACTCTGTCCTTCAGGTCCAAATGATGTCCGCATTCACTGGCATAGGAATGGGCACAGTGTGGACAGCCCTGTAATGGAGTACCGTCGACCCCTGGGTCAGGACCATGCACTGGTGAGCAGCTGGCTCCAAGAGGGGCCCCTGATCAAGGATGCCCAATACCGTTGTGTGGCTAAGACCAGCACAGGAAATGACAAATCTGAAGTTAACCTCCAACTCCCCTTTGGAGGTATAGAGACTGGTGTGGAGTATTTTTATTGTACTTCTCATATACGCTACATTATGATTATGTGAGTGCAATTAGATGATTATTGTTATGCAATTTATTTGGCAGATGAAGACTCCATTCCATCAAAATATCTGAACAAGTGGAAGAGTGCACTTGTAGAGCATGGACGGCTGCTTAAGAAATGGGAGAAGGCTTGGGTATGTCCATGTTTAGAGATGAGTGTGCTGTGCTGTGCAAAGCCATCATTTGTACCAGATTAATTCAGTGTATATGTGATTCAGTGCAATTATTAAGATGTTAATCAACATTTTACTGGTTTCTCAACAGGAAAGCTGTGATGAGCATTAAAATGTGAAAATGGCAGACAATATTTGTCTTGTTTTAATGCGGTTCTTCTGGACCTGGGTTTTGACACAAAACCTGAAGTAGATGCCCAAGTGTTTGGGACAAGATGGGTGGGGCTATTACATTGATGGATGCCCCACATGACCTGGTTATGTCCTATCAAAACAAAGAAGGTCGTGGTGTTTGGAGTTTATGGATATGTGGTTTGTTTTTGCACGGAATATATGACATGATGTATGGTTACTTGAAGTATACGTTAAAGCAGTAGAAACTGTGAATGGATTGGCCAACCTCGTCTTAATGGTATGTTTTATTTCTATATTTGAAATTATGCCTATGCTGCAAAATATTGCATTTTAACAACTGTGGTTTAAAATTCATTCATTCAATTGAAGTTTCTATGAGAGGGTCATAGTACACGAATATTAAATAGTCTAATGTACTTAGTTTCGTATTTCAATGTTTAGGAAGGTCACTGTAAATATATCTCTACAACGCCGCCTTGTGTGGTAAATTGTAAGTGCAGCACAGCATAAAACAGGCTACACAGTCCCCTCTAGTGACAAGTCACTTTGCAATGTACAGAATTAATATTTTCACATGAAGTGAAATTCATTTGACTATATCTCAACAATACAGAAATGTATGCTGAGGCAGTGGATCTAGCCTATAAAACGTGCTGTCTCCAACCAAAATGATGCATGCAGTGATGTAGAGTGTACCGGGAGAATAATCCACTGATATTCACTCAACCACTGCAGCCTAAACAAGGCATCTTAAATAAAGGATTACTGACAATGAAATTGTGTCAGAGCTTTGGCTGAGGTCTCGGGAAAATGAAAATGCGTGTGACATTGTAAGTGAATATTCTTAGTAGACTAACAGACTTGATCAACAAGTATTTTACATATTTTACATTTGAGGCACCCTGTCATCAAGTCGGATCATATGGATATTGTCCATGACTTTGCTTTTCTGAAGACAGCCAGTAACCATCCGTTACTTTACACTTTAGAAAAGAGAAAATGAAAAGAGGAAAGAAGTTCCACAATGAAATTGCGAAGATCTGATATTGGTATTGAGCTGCTCATATTCATAGATTCAGTCACAGACAGACCGTTGGGAACTCATGACAAATATCTGACGTGATTGGCTCCTTGCAGCTAATAAGTGGAGGGCAGAACCCTAGATAAATCTATGGGAAATTCACTGCTTTTGAATTAAATATCTCAGCGTAGGTCTTTGATCCATAAATGATGACACCACTTTCTTAATAGCAATATAATATTAATATATTTTAATTTTTGTTTATTTTTGCTGATAGATAAGATGTTTGTGCCAGTTTTTGTTTCATGTGGATAGACCTAGTTACAATGATAATAATACAACAATTAAACCAAGGTCAACAAATCTGCAATATCACAGTTAAACAGCAAAATCTACAATTCTGATGTTATACTCTAGTTCAGTTTTATAGGCATTAAAATGTGGTGATGACACGTAAATATTATGTAACTATTTATTTGGGATTTTTATTATTCTTTTGTGATGTGCAGAAATGTTCGTTTAAAATAATTCTAAGTAAAAGTAAAGTATGGGTCTGTGAAATCTGTGTTGAAAATGTCACTGGGTCTTTATTGATGGAACTAGAGTACATCAACCAAAAGGTTATGTAACCGCTCAGTGTGATGGAAAATGAAATGCTCCCAATAAATACACACACACACACACACACACACACACACACACACACACACACACACACACACACACACACACACACACACACACACACACAATTTACTACTAACATTATCCTACAACATGGAATAATTTGTGTTTTTTGTTTCATCTTGTCATTTTCTTGAAATAAATACACAGACATTCGTATGTTATTATTATTAAGCTGAACGTTCTTGCTGTTAGGTATAGAGCTAATTTCCTCCACCGTACCGCCCACTTTAGGTCTAAAGGTTTGTGAATGAGATGACAATGCAGTGTTATAGGCCTACAAGCAATATAGTCAATAAAATTGCTTATTTTTAAACATCCAAGTATTGAGTTAGTCCAGTCTTGTAAGCTATTAATCACTAGGCTAATTAAACGTTTTACGTGATGATTTTTTCATCGAATAAAGACCAAAAAAAAAAAAAATCACATAGCCAACAATAGGGGTGTTATTTTTATTCTTCTATTATTATCATTGTACTGTCAACAGAATTATAGTCCAGTGTAGTCAAACAATTGCATTTCCTTTAATGTTACTTGCATGATTTCTCAAATTATTCGAAACAATTAAAAAAGTAGTACCTGTTTGTGGAATGGTCTCTTCCACTATTCAGCAAGCCTCCCCTGAATGAGTCATCCAGCCGGCTCCTCATTGGATAAGATCATGCCATCCCAAGGGATTGCCTTGCAGAGGCAGAAGGGCCTTGCTTCCATTCACAGAAACATTGGTATGCCAGTCTGCTTTTTCATTCACATAAAAGGCTAAATACTGCATGCTTCGTCTTCGTGCTCTGTTGTCGTCTTTTCCTTTTTGCCTCCTCGCTTCTTGCGGGAGGACGCGCGTTTTCTTGCCTGCCTGTGTCTGTGCCTTTGTTTCTGAGGAGAGAAGCTGTCGTGTTTTCCTTTTTTCCATGTTTGCCTAGCAGGAAGGAGATATGTTGGAAGGGACTGCACTGCGAAATCTGCAGCAGAGCAGGGTGAGAGCGGAAGCTGCTTATGAATGAGTGTCAGTGCTTCGCCTTCACTACTGCTCCTGGACATTTTGTCATGAATGATGTGTGGCTGTGTGCTCTCTGCTTTCTTGGAGACAAATATGCTTCATAGACTCTGGTTTTAAGGAGACTCGGGCAGATCTCCTTTATTCTCTGGCTGCTCTCATTGAGCCTGCACCTGCCTGAGACGCATGCTGTTTGCAGGCCCTCTGTTTTCTTTTTTCCCAGTCATTTTACATTTTAACCAATAGCCTATTGCACTACAGTTGTTCTTGTACCTGAAATTGTGTGCCTTCAACTGCTTTTTGTTGATGCTATATTTAATAGATCACTGACAGCTGATATAAAGCAGCATGGATAGTAAGATACTTATAATCCATTTAATACATATTAATATGTATTAAATCATATGTGTCCCATGTATGTATGAAACAAAATCATTTCACATTTTAGTTTAAACATAGATGCAGACATATCTTTTTCATTACTATAAACATTTTTTATAAGTAGTATCCCTCACTAGTATCCCTGTGTTTTTTGTTTGTTTGTTTGTTTTGTTTTGTTTGTTTGTTTTTTGCAAAGAGAATCAAATGGGATGCTAAAAATGACTTAGATTAAATATCAGACTGGGGAATTCAATAATTGATTGGTTCCAGTATGCTGTAAGTGGGAGGTTTTCTTTCTCCTTCCAACAGGAAGTGATTTGCAGTGCTCAGCAAGCCTTTTGTTGAGAAGGTTTTCTCAGATCAGTGAGTCATGCTTTAGCTCTGAGCCGACAGGCAGGCAGCAGTCAGTACACAGTATTTGCTCTTCCCTCACAGTGTCCATGATCAGCCACATTCAATCTGTTCTCTTCTTTTTACTTGGATTTTTAAGGCGACAGATTATCATCAGAAATCCAAACAGCTGCACAGCACTGGCAGTCTTCTACAGACGTTTTTTCATCCAGCACATTCTTAGTGCTTTCAATGGATTGTTTCTTTGACAGATTGGATTGCACTTTTGGATTTAACTAGAAACAGGTTGGACTTTCGTGGCAGAACCAAGAGCTAAGTCAACCAAGGCATCGTTGTACCCTCAGTAGAGAAAATTATAGTCAGGTGGCCTGTGATTGCTCCAAGGCGTTCGCTGCCTCTACCACTGCTGCTGCTGCTATGTTACAAGGGAGGCTAATCAGCAGCGCTCAGCCACGTCTGCCAGCACACTTGTGAAAGAGGCAGGCTGTGTGCTCTGTGTGAGAGAGGAGGAGAGAGCTAGAGAGAGAAGGGCATGCTTCACCGTACCAAATACAACCGCTTCAGGAATGAGTCAGTAACATCCGTCGATGATCTTCTCCACGGTCTGTCCATGAACCCCAAGGTCTCGGCCAGTCCCCAGCCTGCTGCCGAGACATCTTACACACCCCCATCTGAGGTACAGCCCACCAGTGCGAGCAGCACCGCCACTGGTCACAACTCCGACCACCTGGAGGATGGAGGCACCACCCTGTGTACACTCATCAACAAGGTGTCTAACCTAAAATTCACCAACTCCGGCAGCTTGCTGGGTATCAAGGGTTTGCCCTCGGCTGTCAAGGACCTGGCTGTGTCTAAGCTGCAGGGGGGTGGGGGCTCGGGCTCCGGCAGCTCCAGTGGCTCAGGCCCTGCTGTGACAACAACAGCAGCAGGAGCCTCTGGGGTGGGAGCCACTCACTGTATTTCCCAGTCAGCCCCCTGTTCACAAATAGCCACAGTGGTCAACATGAGCAAGAAGAGCCGAGTGGATGAGCTACTGCCTGGAACTGAGGACTGGCATCCAGGTGGAAGGGACGGACTGGTCAGCAAACCATCTAGAGGATGGCTACACTCCAGTGAGAAGATCTCAGGACCAGGAGTTACATACATTGTCAAGGTTGGTGGTCTTGTTTTTAATGTGACTTAACCTTGAGATAAATGTTAGTGTTAGTGTCAGCATGTTAACTGCCATTTTAGACCATAGGCCATAGAGTACGGATCATAATTGTTTATACTGATATAGTTAAATTAGAAATGATAAGATGGATTGTGCCAACTATCTATCTAACGATGTTGTTAGCAAAAACAATCTGTACACTGAAGCCTGCTTTTGTAACCATGGAGATGTGTAAGTTGTTTACATCAATGAGCAATTTTAGCACACAGGAGGTAAGCCTACTGAAGGTGTATAAAATAACATTTTATATCTGGTGTACAAAAGCTAATCTACATGGTTTTAAAGAGCCTGGGTTGGCTCACAACTAAAAGAGCTGTGAATGTCATCATGCTGGCAGTGAGTCACAAGTATGGGGAGTGATGATGCTCTTGACAGTGTGAAGTGAATGAAGGTAGAAAGTGGAATAAACCATTTTAGTTAGAACCACAAAGCAGCCACAAAAGGTACAGTGGATTCTGTGTTATTTGTGGAATAATTCAAACATAAGAAGAGTTTTACATCTGGTAAAATATGTTGCATGCCAAATGGATGATCATATGACACCTACTACAGCAAGGCCAAACAAAGGCTCTAGTGTTAGTGACCGACATGACATTCCATTAACTGCATTAAGGCCAAGAGCACTTATTTGTCCCATCAATGCTAGTAAAAGCCTGTACTCTGTTAGAGGGGGTGTGGGCTCTGTCTGCTGATCCACCCCCCTGCATGTTCTGTGGTTAGGAGCCTGCCTGGTCAATATCAAATACAATGTGATTAATTTGGATCATGTGGTAAACTGTCACACATCATGCACTATTGAAATTGACCATGTATACTCTGACATTGTTGTTCACCACAGTGTTAACCCTAACAGGATTGCTGAACATGGGAAATCACCCTAGTCATAATATATTTGGTATAGATGTAATTAGTTAATGTACCATAAAACTCTATGAGGTACCTAGTCTAGTCATAATATTAATATGTATGAGTTAGTGTTGTAGTTGTTTAGTACTAGGCCAAAAAACAAAAAAATCTGCATAAAAACCTGTAAATCTACAAACACTGGTAGACAGATACCAAATGTAAACATAAAGAACAGAATAGATCAATAAAATTATGTGATGCAAAATCAAAATCATTAGTATCCTCAATTTACCCCCAGTGACAAAAAGGTCATAACATTTGATTCAGTAGAATACAGAAGACTGGGTGTTTTAATCGCTAGCTAACTATGAATGTGATGATTGTAATAATAGGATCTTGTCAGCACAAAATGTTCCTGTTTGGCCCAATAAATAATCAGGAGATGCTGTAATGTCATGAGTAGGTGTTGTGATGTGAGGGAGTCTGCACTTGGGTCTGGTGTGACCATAATATGCAGACTAATATGTTATATTTACATTCAGAATTCAATTTCAGATTGTATTATTATTGACATTAGGTCAATTTTATTCACTAATATAAGTTGATGGATTTTGTGTTTACATTTTTGTTCCAGTATTTGGGCTGTATAGAGGTCCTACGGTCAATGAGATCTCTGGATTTCAACACAAGGTCACAGATCACAAGGTGTGTTTTGAACTATGTGTGTCTTTCATTTTGGTACTAAACCATATTTAACTTGAATTGCTTTGAAAAATAGTTGAAAAAGGTTGATCTAAACAACATTGGTGAACGATGTCTTAATAGTTTTATATTGTATGAGTTTTTCCTAGACTTGTATAGTATGGCTATTCAATGTTGACATTAAAACGTGTCTAACTTATGTAATAGTATTATCTTTGGTATCTTGTGTAGTGTTCTGCTTTTCATTTTGAACAAATATATGTTAAATAAAACAGCATTTCTAGTGCTATATAATGCATTTAACAGCAGCCTTACCATGCAGCAAAGCTCAGCTGAGCAGGGGATGGTGCATGTCATGTTCACTTTTATGCTTGACTTCCTGAAGTGGGTGAAGTGGCAACATTAGAAGATGGACAACCAGACACACAGTTATTACTAAACAGTGTTAAACAATGAATTAACAGTCAGTTGTAGTCAAAATCCATTGTAACTGTGAAAAGGAAATCGCATTGATGTGTAACTGTTTTAGAGAAATGAAAACAACCTTTATATCATTTCATTTACAGATTTCCCATGAGAGTACATTTGTCTTGGGTACAAAGAGCATAGGTGTTTTGCTTGGTGCTAGGGCTAATACATTGATGTGTTGTATAAATGTGCACTACATTTATTTATCATATCCATATTGTTTAAAAAAGATTGTTAGATAATTATGCCATATTTTCTGTCATAACTGTCATATTGTCCTCACCCTTTCTCACCCTCCCTCCAGGGAGGCCATCAGCTTGGTGTGTGAGGCTGTTCCTGGGACCAAAGGAGCTTTCCGCAAACGAAAGGTACATGGATTGACATAGATAAGGACAGGAGAGATGGAAACATGAACAAAATTAGGGTGCTTTTCTTGGTGCTAGAGCTAGTGCAATGATTGTTTATGAATACAATTAATAGAAAGGGAGGAAAAGGCATTAGATATTCATTTACCCTTCCTGCTTCTATATATAGCACCCCTTGTGTAAGTTCTTTCCCCTCCCTTTGTGTAAAAGGAGAGAAAACAAAGACAGCAAGAGAGGGAGAGAGGGCAAGAGACAATAACAGGGAGGGGTTGTGCTTAAAAGGACAGAGGCTGTGCGAGAGGAAAGTGCTGAAGGTATGGGGCTGTATGTGCGTGGGCGTTGCTCCAGCCTGAGATGCATTGCACATCGCTCCAATGCTTAGTGACTCATGTAGTGCACAATATCTGTGATCAGAAGGATGAGCTGGTCACTGTGTTGGTGTGCACATTACATGCAGTGCTTATGTGGGAAAGGAAACAAAGCAGTTCTCAGTACAAAGCTTGTTCAAATGCCAGCGAGGAGCAGAATCTAATGTTGTGTTCATTATTATATCGGTGACATATTAAAAATGCATACTGTCGTTGTTGAGCATGACATATTTTGATAGAATAAGCTAATTTGTCTATAAAAAATATCAACTTCAGTTGATCCAGATTGTGTTGAGATATTTTGTGGCATCTGTTTGCAATGTTCATTTTAAGACAATCCATATATTTATCTGCTAATGTCCTGTTTTTGTAGCCACCATCTAAGGCATTATCCAGTATCTTGGGGAAAAGCAACTTACAGTTTGCTGGCATGTCCATCAATCTAAACATTTCTACCAGTAGCCTGAATCTGATGACCCCTGACTGCAAACAGGTCAGCTCCTTTTTATTTATAAGATCCTCTGAATACATGATACATAAATGTCCACATTTTTATAAGGTTCTTGTTATGCAACTAATATAATACAGCCTCATTTTGATGAATGAAAATGTATGTGTCATTCCTGATATGGCCAGTAGATGCTGCTACAGTCTGACGTACAATATCCAAAATTATTTTGTTATTCGAGTTGTACTCAACACGTTTGTATTGCTTTTCTATTGACAGATCATTGCCAATCACCATATGCAGTCAATCTCTTTCGCATCAGGAGGAGACCCTGTAAGTTAGTCCAGTGTGAACTAAAGTATATGTATGAAGTACTATAAAATTTGTAAAAAATGTTTGTTTTTCTTGTAGGAAACCACAGATTATGTTGCTTATGTAGCAAAGGATCCAGTCAATAGAAGAGGTAGCTGGTTATTGGCTTTTACATGTTAATATTAACATTCAGCTCAATGTATGTAATATATTGTTGATGTCATTAAAGCATGCCATATCCTGGAATGTGCTGATGGCCTGGCCCAGGACGTCATCAGCACCATTGGTCAGGCCTTTGACCTACGGTTTCAGCAGTACCTGCAGTGTCCTTCAAACAAGATGTCCTCCACACAAGACAGGTTAGCTGAAAATAATACCTGCTATTTGCAGTGTCAACACAAATGAACCTCCCACTAAAGGTATTCAAAACATTGGGCCTTAGTTGTCATGTGTTTGTTACATTAGTGTCAGAATGTGTGTTTGAGTTGATCCTTGCTGCAAAAATGACCAAGGTAGAAAAGTGATATATTCAAATCTATCAGTCCATCAAATTACATTTTATGGTTTTATCATTGCATAGGATGATTTCAGTAACTTTTGTCATGGTTAAAATGTCATATTTCTAGGGTGTTAAACATGGAAGACTTGCAGTGGACAGAGGAGGAGGAGGAGCCAGCAGATCACCCATACTACAACAACATCCCTGGTAAAATGCCACCGCCTGGAGGCTTTATTGATGCCCGACTGACCAATCAAAATACAGCACATGATGGCACTCAGGTATATTATCTTCACTGCAGCCTGTGTGATGACAGTGATGTAAAATGTAGATGATACTAACTTGTATCTGTCAAGATGGCCCTTGGAGCTGTTGATCAGACCTACTATCAAGGACGGCATTGTGGAGAAAACTGGGGAGATGACAAAAGGCCTATTTTCATACAACAAGGTAAAAGTATTTAGCATAGAAAAACAACAGAATATCTGCATTATTACAGCACAGTGAGAGAAATAAAATACCATAGTTGATTTGTGATATTTACCCATCTGACACACCAATGTCAGTTCAAATTTAAACAAAAATGTAAATTGTCCAAATCAAAACTTGACAAAGAATGAACCAGGACCAACACTTCCTTTATCAACACATTTCATTTTTTTAAGGCTACTTTTTGGGGGGGGAAATGCTCGCTCTTCTCTATGTATACATGTCTGTGATTTGTTTTTGTCTGCATTTAAATTTGTAGGATCCTTTGATATAAGTGGTTTGCCTGACAATAAAGGTCAGTCTACAAAGGCAGGAGAAATGCCAACATACATGAACACCCAACAGATTGATGCCCAGGTGCTGGCAGCACTGCATGCGGAAGCCGAAAGTGTCCCAAAGGGCAACTTTGCAACTGGAGCCAAAGATAGCCCTCCCAAAGATCTTTTTGACATGAGTAAGTTACAGCAGATTTGTACTCAGAACTGATATTATAGCAGTAGTCAAAGGGAACAGAGAGTTCAAAGAAATAAGGTTTCCCAACTACTGTTTTACATCAATTGGTGTCATAAAAATTACTATGTTCTACAGTAGAAACACTGATACTCGTTTATCTTTACTCGTAGGTTTAACTTTGGTTCTGTTTTTTGTACATTGTAAGAGATCATCTATAGAGATCACTATGGCAATCTAATTACACATTAGAAACATTAATGGCCTGTGTAGGAGGCTCCTAACAATGTAACACATTCAGTAATTACAACGTTAATTTAGGGACTCTTATTCACATGCTTCTGGCTCAGAAAGGGCTTACTGTCATATCCACATAGCAAAAAAATTTAACTTCCACATCTGTTTTGCTAATGACAAATTTTGTTGATCTACTAAAGTGCTATGTATGATAGGAAGTGAATAAAAAACATAAACAGGACTTACAGTACTTTTCTGTTAGGGGTTGCACCATCTGCTTGTCTTCACGGAGATGCTTTACCTGGAATTTTCCACAATATGGCATTAAATATATCTTCATGAAGACAAGCATGTGTTTCCACCAGGCCAAGCTACAGGTCAGATCTGTTGAGTGGCAGCCCTGCTCACAGTTAGAATGCATGTTTTAAGTTAACATAGCGCACCTTTTAAATTTCTCTGAAAAAGTCTTATGCTGATTATATTATATGTAGATGTAAGATGAATTAATGTTAGTTTACTTTATCCTCAGAAAGTGAGCATGAATAGGTAAAATACAGTTTACATCCATTTATTGCCTTTTTTCTTCCAATTGACCTTCCTATACCAGAGCCGTTTGAAGATGCCATTCATTCCCAGTCGCACTCGCCATCCCAGGTTCCTCCCCAGTCCCAAGTTTCTGGTCTCTACAAGGCTGCATCTGTGGACAATTCGAGCCCCCTTCTTGTGCGTGCTGTGGCCTTTCGGGCACAAGAGGAGCTAGAGGAAAAGCCCTGGTACCATGGCAAAATGAGCCGCCGGGATGCTGAGAAATTACTGAATAAAGATGGGGACTTCCTTGTTCGGAAAAGCACTACAAATCCAGGATCCTATGTACTGACTGGTATGCACAATGGACTTGCAAAACACCTGCTGCTGGTGGACCCCGAAGGAACGGTAAAGACTACAATCCAATGTAAAGTATGCTAAAATAAGCCATGTCCACGAATAACACCAACATGTATCTTTTTTAAGGTACGGACAAAAGACCACGTGTTTGACAGCATAAGCCACCTTATTGGACATCACCGTGACAACAATCTGCCAATTGTGTCAGCTGGGAGTGAACTATGTCTTCTGCAGCCAGTGGAAAGAAAACAGTGATACTTGGAATGCATGATGGTAAAAAGGTACCATCCGGAAACTTGAATACAAGACATTACTGGTTAACAGTATCTTTACTGAAAGCACTGAAAGAACTAAGCAAGATTTGTTAAATTATTTATAGAACTGTTATTATTTTGCCGTGATGACTGAAATGCTATATTTTTTGAAAAGATGGGTGCATTTGGACATAATATATTGATTTGGTGTTTTAACAGTTTAAAAAGATAACTGTTCTTGTAATTAAAGTTCAAATTATGCCTCAAAGAGGCAATTACAAACGTATTTTAGAATAAAAACCTAAAATTTTAGTTTTGTCTGTCAAGCACAACCATATTTCTACAGGTACTGCTGGCTACATGTTTAAGGAATACTTAAAACGGCTCAGAAACTAAGCTGTTTATATCCAAATACTTTAGTAAAAAATGTATTGGTTAGAAAAGTTAGATGCTGAGGTCAGCTATACTGAGGAAGAAAAGACCTGAATGTGTTTGCTTTGCAGTAGTCACTGTTTGGGTGCAAACAGACATCCCATAGTGCTGTCAATGGCTTTAAAGATGAACATTTTTATCCAGTATTTCTTGTGTCACTGCAGTCGCATGACTTAAAATCAACTGTTCTTGTGAACATTGTTTGTAGATCTTGATGCCCCTTTATTTGAAAGAGGTGGTCGTGTATGCTGACACTGTACAAATTTTGCTTTTTGAGCAGTGACTATTTTCAAATGAGTTTTCTCTGGATTTCTATTTTCTGTGTAGTCAATGATTAGTCCAGGGCTTCAGTCATGCAATGGATATCAGTCTTAATTGACTTCTGCCTTTGTTGAGAATAGTTAATCGTTATCATTTTATTGCTCACAATAAAATAGCACAATCAAAAAGTTTGGCCTGATAGATGGTCCATCTATCTCACTTCACAAATCTAAGGTTGATGTTCTGCCAACATGAAACCAAGCAACATAAATTCCAATTTGTGTTCATATTCGATTATAAGTTTTGCCCATTTACATATGAAAAAGTTATAACATATATTTGCTTTGTGCTTATCCACAGACTTAATTAGTCACATTAAGGTAAGTACTGAAAAACACAGAAATTGTAAGTGCTAGAATTGGACTATTTTTAAGCAAATATATGTCTGATTAACAGAAGTTAGAACTCCAACAGACACCAGATCCATAGGGCATTGTATTTGATATACACCAGACCACTTCAGAACCAAAATCAGCATGAGTTTGATGAGACAGATGCAATGTAATATATGTGCCTGTATTTTGCTGCAAGAGGGAGTGTACAGTACCATTCATCTTAGAATATATTTAACTCAATTATTTAAATTATTTATAGACACATTTTCACTTTTTCTTTTTGAGCTCTTGTGTCAGTTTGCCTCTCAGGGTGATTTTGGATTGGACCACTGGAAGAGGACACAACAAATCACTACACTTTTTCTTAATAAGATATTTAATTTATAAAATATGTGCCAACTGATATGATGGTTAAGTTTTAACTAAAGTAAACACAAAGAATAACAAGGCATTTCCCACATTTATGTTCATAAAATGTGCCTTTTTGTACAAATGGTGTTTTGATTTGTTTTTCTTTAAAAGTGCAATAGCTGAACTTTAATGGGGCATGCCTGTTCATTTGGTTGTGTTTTGCCCTTGCTGCGTGTTGCTGCTTGACACTACTGTTTGCTCCTATCTCTCCCTCCCTATTCTATATTCTAAATGTATCATTTTCAGAATCTAAATATACTTTTTTGTTAAATAAACTCACAAATGATCACTATTTTGGAAGTAGAGAAAATAAAAGAAATCAAAGGTCCAAATGATGTTTACATTTTTCATCTTTCAGTTCAGTTCTCATTATTTATGGCTGTCTGGTAATAAACCCTTAAATGTCCAGAGGTTTTAGTGTTGTGTGCCAAACACTATAAAGTGTACAATGAGAAAATTGCCTATAGTTTAGTTGTCATTCTAGTTAGTGACACAAGATGGCGCTCTTGTGCAATACATGACAATGCAATGATTTAGTAGGATTCATTGCAAAAGAGAAATTAAATTCTGTCAACTGGACAAAGGTTTTTGGTCGAAGTTTCAATCAAAACTTTTCTCCAATTGACAGAATTAAATTTTTCTCTTTTTTTGTTTTCTTTTGGTATATAATTAACATTAATCATGTAAATGCAGTATTTCTGGCATACATTTTTTATACCTTGTTGCATGGATAAATCTGAAAAAATATGTCTTATGGACATTATTGTAATTTGTGATATATATATATATATATATATATATATATATATATATATATATATATATATATAAATTACTATACTTCTACAGACCTTCACATGCCTTATATTTTTTTTATAACCTTTAATTAAATTTCTTTCAAGAATAACCACTGATAGTACTGTTGCAACAGTTGTTGAAACACTGAAAGGCTGTAGTGGTTCTGTGGAATTATTGACTTACTCGCTCATGCTGATAAAATTGCAGAAGAAAAGCCAGATAACATTTGCATACTTCTTGATTAAATAATTGGCTACAGTATGTGTAATAATTACAATATTAGCGACAGCCAACAGCATTTGCATAGTGGTCAAATGTTGAGAAGATATCAGTTCATTCATAGACTAATTACATTGGCTTACACATTGCAATGAACATGCAGATAAATATTACTAAATACACTAAATACTATTATGTTAACTGTCCAGCAGTTGGAGCCAGCCCATTCACAGCATGTACATCTCACTCTTTATCATGCCAGTCCCTCAGCCTTCAGTTGCACCTCCACTGACCACAGACACCTGGCCTGGCATCTGACTGGCTTCATCCTGGTCCAACAGTACTGGTCTTGTCCCAATGGGCTGGTTTTGATTGGGGTTGTTCTGGCTGCTCCATGACTTGCTTCTGCTCCGGCTTGGTTCCAGTGACTTCTTTGCTCCACTACCATTTGCAGATGCGTTCACCCTATAGCAAAGCCCGCACACTAACCCGAGGAATGCTCTCCTCATTTCTCGGCTGGCCAGTGTGTAAATTACAGGATTCATGGCAGAATTGATCACTGCTACAGCGATAAACCAGTCTGCTTTATACAGTATGGGACACTTCCATCGCTGTTCACATGCAACATCCACTAAAAGTAACACAAATATTGGCGTCCAGCAGGCAATAAAGACACCTACAACAATGATGACAGTCCGAAGTAGGGACATGGCATGCTCAGAGTTGCTATGCTTGCTTACTTTGCGACTACTTGATTTGACTAATATGTAGATCCTTGCATAAAGGATAGACATAGCTAGAAGCAAAACCATGAAAACTGTTATACAGAAAGCAACATACTTCTTTGTATAGAGAGGCAGCACCGTTGAGCAATCTGGCAAGTTGTCCAGGCAGTTCCAACCCATAATTGGTAGTGTTCCAAGAGATATAGCAATCAACCAACAAGCCCCAATGAGCAGAAATACTCTGTAGTTTTTGTTGGCATCATAGGGCCTCATTTTGATCATAGTCAAGTGTCTCTCAATAGCAATCGCCAGGAGACTAAAAATGGATGCTCCGAGTGCTACAAACATGCTTCCCTCTCTGATGAACCAAAGAACAGGGGAAAGTTGGAGGGTCCTATCTCCAGAAAGCAGCAAGTTCACCAGGTAAGTGACTCCAGACAGGAGGTCACACAATGCCAGGTTGCCAATAAAAAAGTACATGCGATTGTGAAAGCGGTGGTTCCTCCATATGGCCACCAGAACAGTGAGGTTCTCCAAAACAATGAAGCAGCATATGACAAGGAAGAGAATAGTTTGTACGTTCACTGTGCCAGGACTGGTGCCCACATTGGGCCGGTGGTCAAGCTTGCCGGTGTAGTTGTAATGGAGGTAAATTTGAGGGTTGATCATCATGAATGAGCCCACTGGATGTCAGATGAAGGAGATGGCTCCACTGTATACAGTGTCACCTTGGGCAACTATAACAAAAACAGTGCATTAGTGATGGATATGTCAAGTTGCTCTAATTGATAAATTGATTTTAAAAAATTTAAAAAAAGTTAAATTCAGGTTTCTCAGGTGGACGTAAGCTAATGACTGAATTACTCTTCTAGTAAACAATTGTTTCTAGTCTAATGATCATTTTGTGTCAAGGCCACTAAACACACGTACAATCATGTTTTTGTTTTTGTTTTGTTTAGTTTAGTTTTTTGTTGTTGTTTTTTAATTTTGAGAGACTAGAAACCAAAAGAGAAGTTAATACGTTACTAAAGTCTGTAAACCATGGCCTCTGTTCTCACTATCCCAAACTCTAGAAACAGTCCTATTTCAAAGTAGGCATTTCGCATATTCGGCCTAATACAAATCAAAGTGAAAAAAGACAAACAAAAAAACTCACCGTGTGATGTCTGCAGTTCTTATCAAGTCCAAAATATAAGGCACGCTGAAAAACGCACATTTCATATTACTTTTAAAAGGGTACTTGAATCCACGGTCTATAACAAAGCTCTGAGTGAGGACACTGTCGCTCCTCTTGGTCGGTGAGTCTGTGCTGTGAGCGCAGGACGCAGCGCCACGGGCTGAAGCGGAGATACACCCTCCCTCCCATATGACTATAGACTGGATCATGACCACAGGCACAGGCTTGTGCTGTGGCGTCTGAGATTTAATTGTGAGTAACAAAACGATGTTTTTTTGAAAAACATAAAACTTTGTTCATGTCTATGTATTGGTAACATTTGAATTGCCTCCGTTAGTTTTATTGACTGTGTGTGTGCATATAGCAAGTGCACTTGCTAGTTACCACGTGTGATGATCATGTGTATGATTGGGGGATACAGTTACCTGCTTGTTTAGTTACATTATAGTCCTTATGTATTATGTATTTTTGCTTTATTTAAAGCAGTAAAAGTAATGAAACCACACCATCTTATGTCAATGTATTATGAGTTGAATATTGGACAGGGTGAAAATGGCGAATAGTGGCCGGTCATTCTTTTGTTCTGTTGACATGAACTCGGTCAGGAAGGATGGGCAGGGCTGGCCATATGAAGAGAGGGAGAGTGGATTATTTTAAATAGATGTTATGAAGCAACATACTAACACCAGACTTAGAGCATTATTAATGAAATATGGATGAAACATAGTTGTCAGACCCATATCATTGCAGCCACTTTGTAGGGAATTTCCCTGGTTATTATGTCACGACTAGACATCATCTCAGAGAACCATAGATATGTTTACCTTGGTTAAATAACTGTCTGAGTTCTGGAGTAGGTCCATTGTTTGTCACTGTCACAATTCCTATTTTTCTGCAGTTTGTCATAGTGTGCCAACAGCTTTGGAGCAAAAATCTTTGAAGAAAGTGATCCACATTCTGGACTCATGGTAAGCTGGTCCCAGTCCACATAAAGGCAGCTGAGAGAACAGGAGAGAAGGACCATGGTTGGAAAAACTACAGTGATGTGGAACGAGCATCTGCATTTACATAAACTTGGGCCAAAAGTGAAACAGTCAGCAGGTCCAAACCTATAATATGTGGTTAGAGAGGCCTGTGCCTGGTGTATTCATAGACAGATGAAGAGGAGTAGGTCCAGGACCACCCTCACTTGAATGTTATACTTTGGTGCACTAAAGTTTGGGGTTGTGAAAGTCCTCTGGTGGTCTCAGCATTTACACCAAAATGGTTTGAAACCATCTCACAGGTACTTCCACATATTAAAATACATATTACTTCTGGATAAATACACACGGAAAGCCCTCATTAGAAAGCACTGTTGGCCTCACTAATGTTTAAACATTTTCTCCAGAGAAATTTCCATAACTTAGAATGCACTACATGTCACTACAGGCTCTATTCACTTCTCATTGTGAACCAAGATTATGCTAAAGAGAATGTTAGATTACACTCCTCTGTAACTGCAGTGCAACTGACATTATCATGCATTAGAAAAGGTAAAAATCTCACTGTTTTATTGGTCAGCTAATGGTTAAATGATCATTATAGGTGCTATGGCCAGTGGTTGTATTATGACTTTGCCAGTTTCAGCTCCTAACCCCTCATTATTGAGCTGGAGACTGGCTCATGGACACACATATGTACAATTACACTAAAAGCATGTCTTTAATTTTACTCTGCTTTTTGGAGTCTGGGCTTCAGTCCCTGCTCTGTGGTTTTTGTGGTAGCAGCATTTCTAGGCCTGGCAGTCTTTTATATGCAGCTTTGCAGAACACGGTCTCACTAACGTCAGTGAGGAATCATTCCAGCTGTGGTAAAGTTTAGTCTAGGATCTGCTCCCTTGTGAAGGCTACACAAACAGAAACATTCTTTACACTCTTGTTTTTCGCATAGTTTTTTATCCTCAGTAATTCACAAAAGTCTCTGTCATTAGAGATTGTGGATTTTAGTTAGTCATCTCATGTATTTTTTGTTATTTTTCATTAACTAAATGAGTTTGACTGAAGCCAGATTCATAACCCCTTAATATAAATTATCAACAGTTCTAATCATTAGTTTTTTCTTTTCAGATTGAGGATGAGAGATGCAGTGTGATGTTAGCCACTAACCAGGTGAGCCACTAGAATTAGAATCAGATCGATTGATTAATAATTGCATTATGCATACACATTAACTTTAGGTTCAATGAGGCCTTGAAAAGTTGCGGCCATGGGCTTTGAGTCATTTCCTTTGTCCTTCCAGACAGTTAATGTAAGTGTAGGCACTGGGGCATTTATAACATAGTGATGCCTGTGCATCTCTGCCGGCCATTATACCTACAGTACTAAGAGCAGCTTGTATTGATGTGCTGCTGTCATTGACCGTTGCTTGAGTTACTGCTGAATGGACAGCTATTAGAATGTCATTAAGAAGTCTGCAGTCTTTACAGCACAGCACAAAGCTCTCTTACACATACAGGACATGTAACACAAATATAAGGTTTAAGTGTAAATCTCTATGCTTTGGTTAACAAAGTAAATCTATGTGTCACTGTTTCTCACAATGCGGTTTTCAATAGGGGAGACATGCCTCCCCTGGGGGGCGCCAAAGAGTCACTGGGGAGGTATGACACAGACATGAAGAAAAAATAACAGGCCACATCTGTACACATCTGCAGTAGTATTGATATCGGTAATTGTGCATGTGTGTATTAGCTGTAAAATTATGTCGCCATGTGTTGTGCCCTCTACTCTGACAGTTTGGGAGAGGTACGTGGTTGCTTTTTGTAGACAATGAAGGACAGAGACGCAGTTCACGTCCTTACTTCATTACTTAATTTCAAAAAGAACAGCGAACAGTTGTGCGCAGGCGCATAACACAATTTTCCATCAGCCAATAGAAATGACACTTGTAAATATGTAATTGTACAATTTTTAGTATTTATACTTTTTTTACCAGATGAATTATCTTTTAAATTTAACAGAACAATATTAATCATGTTTTTAACAATATTTTAAATCGTTGACCCACTTTTTTTAATCTGTCACACAGGAGATGTAACACAAATATAAGGTTTAACTGTCAACCTCTATGCTATGGTTGGTTTGGCGTGTATTAGCTATAAAATTATGTCGCCATGCTGACAACCAACTCATAGTTTAGAGCGACATCTTTTTTGCCTTGTATACGCCGTGTGGACCGCGCTTCCTCCCGTACGCTGCGTGGACTGGGTGGGTCTTTACGCGTATGCTGCGTGGGCTGTGCCTCCTCCCATGTGCAGCGCGGGTGCACCTCTAAACCAGAACTAAAACCAGGACTAGACCAGGCCTAAACCAGGTCTAAAATAGCACTAAACCAGGACTAAACTAGGACTAAAAAAACAAGACTAAACCAGAATTCAAACCAGGACTAAATCAGAACTAAAACTAGGTCCAGGTTTTGCTTTATGCTAGTCCTAATACGAGTTGAATTTGGATCTGAAGTATTTCTGTTGCAATACCTAAGTCAAAAACATTTGCAAATTACTCTGTAGTGTTAACTACTGACTATTTATCTATTGCAAGTAAGTACCTTGGTAGAGAGATGGTAAATTCAGTAACAAAAACTATATGTTATCGTAGCTCCAGTGGGTAATAAAAGGTTGGGACTGTGTTATGGTTATTGAAACATTTAAATGCTTTTGTTTTTTTCTCATGCATTGCATAGGGAAGGATATATATATTCTCTTATACAGCCTTAGCTATATATAGCTATATAGCCTATACAGCCTAGCTTAATTAATTGTAATTATTGTAAATCAGACATAATTGCACGTTTTCCCTCCAGCTTGTGTTCTTATAACTAATAAGATGTGATGTAGCTCTAAAGTGATAAACCTTTATACGCTACTGTGGTGCAACCAAGAAATGTGTGTGATGCATACAGGAAGCCATTACTGTTCTGATGATGATGGTGTATATAAAATCAGATAGTGTCCAGGGCCAAGCCTTTTCCAGGTTTTAAGCAGTTGCTAATGGGCTTCAGTTGGATAAACTACTCTGCAAGAAGTAGGCTCCTCTAAATGAAATTACATGGGACTGTATTAAATGAACAAAACTATAAAATGTAAAGACAACGACCAAAACCTTGGTGTGACCACTGAATAAAGGAGATTCCAAATTGGCGATTGAAAAGTGGGCATCTTTGTTATTATGAATTTGTGCATTTTTAATTAACCAAAACTATTCATGATTAATTCATCTTTGTGTGCTGTTGGGGTGTTGACAAAACATTAATGGAATTGTAATGATTTTTTGCCTATCTGCGCAATTCTGCAATATCATACATAAAATAGATTTCAAATATTTTCATAACTGTATATGAATTATACATACATCTCACTGAACCAAACCATGCCCCCATCCTCATCCTCACTCCCCACCCTTCCCCCATCACACAAACAACATGAGCCTTATCGATCAAATACACCTACTTTTTTCGTAGGGGTGGCACAGTTCACAAAATTCATGGTTCGGTTTGTATTGGGGTTTAAGGTCACGGTTTTCTGTTCAGTACGGTTCTTGTAATTTTTTTCTTTTTAATCTTTAATCTCCAGAAATATACTTCAGCATATGCTATGTTGCTTAATTATCCACTATTTAGGATACAGAATTTAAAAAGTTATAAAATTATAGTTAGTAATGTAATCATGGACATTATTATTGAACATAGGCAATTGTTGTGCTTCGGTGAAAAAAATTTGCCACCTTCCTAACCCTCCTCAGGAGTCGGGATACTTGGTTTAGTGAGATTGCACTCTTGGCTGCAAGGTTAAGGGCCTGGCTCCACTGCACGCACACTGCTGCAGTTGCCGGTGGAGCCGCCATCTCCATCTCCGGGGGGCCTCTTCTCTCCTACTTGTTTTTTATACACATGACGCGCAGCACCCACCCTCTACACCTCTTCTTTTGCGCCAAAACGAAACAGGTCACATACGGGCTAGGGGTGGCACGGTTCATGAAAAAAACGAACCGTTCGGTTCGTAACGTGTGAGTACCGTACGGTTTCCATGGTTCCCGGCTTGCGCATTGTAGCCTTGTGAAAATTACAACTTCAAGATTTACA